AACTGGACCACTGTCTTACACCATACACAAAAATTAACTCAAAATGGACTAAAGACTTGAACGTAAGACCTGAAACCATAAAACTCCTAGAAGAAAACATACGCAGTAAGCTCCTTGACATTGGTCTTGTCAATGATTTTTTGAATCTGACACCAAAAGTAAAAGCAACAAAAGCAAAAATTAACAAGTGGGACTACATCAAACTGAAAAGCTTCTGCACAGCAAAGGAAACCATCAAAAAAATAAAAAGGCAGCCTACTGAATGGAAGAAAATATTTGCAAATCATATATCTGATTAGGGGCTAATATCCAAAATCTATAAAGAACTCATACAACTCACTAGCTGAAAAACAATCCGATTGAAAAATAGACAGAGGGTCTGAATAGACGTTTTTAAAAAGAAGAGACACAGATGGCCAGCAGGTGCATGAAAAGATGCTCTACATCACTAATCATCAGGGAAATGCAAATCAAAACCACAATGAGATATCACCTCACACCTGTTAGAGTGGCTATTATCAAAAAGACAAGAAATAATAGGTGTTGGTGAGGATGTGGAGAAAAGGGAACCCTTGTACACTGTTGGTGGGGATGTAAATTGGTGCAGCCACTATGGAAAACAGTATGGAGGTTCCTCAAAGAATTAAAAATAGAACTACCATATGATCCAGCAATTCCACTTCTAGGTTATTTAGCCAAAGGAAATGAAAACACTAACTCGAAAAGATGTATGCACCCCCATGTTCATTGCAGCACTATTTACAATAACCAAGATATGGAAACAACCAAAGTGTCCATCAGTGGATGAATGGACAAAGAAAATGTGGTATATATATCCAATGGAATATTATTCAGCCGTAAAAAAGAATGAAATCTTGCCATTTGCAACAACATGGATGGACCTCGAGGGCATTATGCTAAGTAAAATAAGTCAGACAGAGAAAGACAAATACCATTTGATCTCTCTTATATATAGAATCTAAAGAAAATCCAAAAAGCAAAAACCAAAACCTGGGGCTGGCCCAGTGGCATAGTGGTTAAGTGCGCGCCCTCTGCCGCGGCTTCCCAGGGTTTGGATCCTGGGTGCACCGACGCACCGCTTGTCAAGCCATGCCGTGGCGGCGTCCCATATAAAGTGGAGGAAGACGGGCACGGGTGTTAGCCCAGGGCCAGTCTTCCTCAGCAAAAAAAGTGGAGGATTGGTGACAGATGTTAGCTCAGGGCTGGTCTTCCTCACAAAAAAAAAAAAACCAAAAACCAAGTTCACAGAGAACGGATTGATGGTTGCCAGAGGCGGGAGTGTGTGGGGTGGGAGAAATGGGTAAGGGGATCAAAAGGTTAAATAAATAAATGACTAAATGAAGAATAATGGGGAAATCCAATAGATTTAGGTACCAATAGTTATTAGGAACATGCAGTTGATTTATTATTTGAATAGTAGTGAGACTAAAGCATTTTGTAAGAAGCTTTGCTCTAAAAACTATTCACTAGTCGTTTGAAAGAAGAAGGTATTAAAATTCACCAAAATTGGGCCAGCCCCGTGGCTTAACAGTTAAGTGCGTGCGCTCCGCTACTGGCGGCCCAGGTTCGGATCCCGGGCGCGCACCGACGCACCGCTTCTCCAGCCATGCTGAGGCCACATCCCACATACAGCAACTAGAAGGATGTGCAGCTATGACATACAACTATCTACTGGGACTTTGGGGGGAAAATAAATAAATAAATAAAATAAAATAATAAAAAAAATAAAATAAAATTCACCAAATAAAGGCTTGTTACACATTTATTTTAAAACTTATTTTACTTGGTCATTGCTATTTTACTTGGTCATTGCTATGAAAGATCAAATTAACTGTAGTCAAGAAATGCATTCTAATAAGACAAAATGGAATTGCACGCTCCTATTGCCATGTTTAATTTGTAGTTAAAAAAAAAGCTGGTGATAAAATAAATGCTTTTGTAGAATAAGTGGGTGTGAGTGTTACATTGCAGCTCACTGAGCCGTTGCGCCTTGTAAAGTATATGATAGAGCTGGGATTCCCAACCTCTACTGTTGGGGAAAATACCATTTCTTTGGAAATCCAAGAAAAAGCAATTGTATTTTAGTATTCCACCAATAAACAATTAGAAAATAAAAATTTTAACCTATGCCATTTACAGTAGATTCAGAAACATCAAATATATAGGAATAAATCCATCAAAATATGTATAAGACCTTTACACACAAAACTACAAAACATTATTAAGAGAAAATAAAGAGGGTCTAAATAAATGAAAGGTTATCCGATGTTCATGGAGTAAAAGACTGAATATTGTAAAGAGGTCAGTTATCTCAAATTTATCTGTAGATGCAATGCCATCACGAAAGTACTCCTAGAAGTATGTTGAAGTGTGTGTGTGTAAATTTATGTAGAAATGCAAAGAGGCAAGAATAGCCATCTTGGGGGGAAAAAAAGCCTGAAAACTTAAACTACTAGATATCAAGACTCATTAACAAGTTACAGTAATTAAGACAGTGTGGGATTATTGCTGTAAAAACAGACGAGTAGACCAATGTCACAGAGGCCAGAAACAGATTCACGTATATACAGTCACTTAATTTATGGCAAGTCACTCACTGTCTTCAAGCCTTCGTTTCCTCATCTATAAATAGGCTTAATAATAGTGTTTACCACATAAGGTTTAAATATTGTATACAAAAGGATTTAGATATTATATTAAGGAGGTTAGCACATATGCACGGTACATAGTAACTACCCAATAAAATTTAGCTAGTGTTAATATTATGCCTGTAACCACCACTATTATTATAATTATTACTATTCCTTTTCTCTGTTTTTCAGTATGGTCATCTGGAAGTGGGGAATGGGTGGACATTAAATCCTAGTTGGCAACTACAGGAACATTTGGGGCAACACAGAGGAGCAGGAGAGTGTCAGTTCTCAGCCTACGTGGAAAGAAGAATGGGACCAGGGAGATGAGCTTCCTGATTCAGTGCAGATTGACTTAGAAACTGGAGTGGAGCTTGGCCTAGCACTAGCGTATCGTGGTCACACAACTGTGAGACGTTAGTAAACAGTTATTAAGCGTCTAAAATGGACTTGTGCATAAATGTGTTTGTAAGGATGTTTGAGAGCCTGTGTATGTATATAAGCCATTAGTAAAAATACTGTGTAAAATGAAGTCAGTTACCAGAGAGGTCCCATCTGAATCATAGCCACGGATCTGAGAGAGAAGTTTAGACAGAATAGTAAAAGGTTTGATTCCATAGCTTTGAATGAAAAGTTTATTTCATAGCATTTTTAGGTGAACCTGGAAGTTCATTTTGTAACATAGGTCACAAAGTCTCTGCGATCAGGGAGATAATGATATGTTTAATTTCCTTCATATTCATATCCTAAACAGTGCCTCATAGTTCATAAAGTGGGCTGCTGCTACGCGGTGTCTTGTGTTATTTAGCTGAAGGCTTCCCCATTATTCTAGCTATTTGGAATCTTCAGCCCTCCCATGTTCCAGCCTACATGGCATCTGCATCCTGGCTTCCCCTCCCACACACCCAGCCATACCCTGTTTCACTCATGGGAGGGAATACTCTAAGACCTTCCACCACTTTAAAACACTTCAGCAGGCTGGCATGGGCTTGTCTTTACCAGATCCAAATTCAGTTTCTCACTCTGCTACTTCTAGTTGGATGACTTTAGATCAGGTTATTTATCCCCTGAGTTTCATCTGCAACAAAGTGCTGGTGATGAGATAATGAAAGTAAAACTCTCAGCACAGTGTTTTCATCAAAGTAAGGGTCGGTGGTGATTATTATTATTGCCGAAGATCACACAGCCAGGAGGCTCACGCCCAAGTCTTTTGTTTCTGAGTCTCATATGCTTTTTTACCATGCTGCCTGTAATTTGGCAAATTAGATGATATAATTTGGTACTCAGTCTTCCCAACTAGGTCTAGACTTGGTCGGGACCCTGCCCACGGCATTTCTGTAATTCAGTTCAGAGGCACCAGCTGCAGGCGCCTTTCTCCCAGTGCTGACTCCTCTCGTGTGCACTTGGTCACTGATAAAACCTCCAGGTGGGGCCTCTTTCTGGGGAGGGGAGAGAGAATGGGTACTCTCTCCCTTGTGGTCTGCCTGTGTGCCTGCCATCATGGACATGTGCCTGCCTTGCCTGATGGAGAGGGTATGATTCTGCCTGCCCCTGTGAGCAGCCTCCATGTGTATTCCTTCCCCAGGGATAAGTCAGTTCCCAAGATCAAGTAAGAACAGTTGGCTTCTGCTGCTTCCCCTTCCTGCAGTTCACCCTGCCTGTGCCGCACAGTCAGGTAGAAGTTCCGACTTCCTTGAGGTCCAACCTTTCAACTGAAAAGTGTTTATTTTTTAGGTGCCTGCCACCTATAAGCTGTTCAGTGTGCATGAAGCCCATCAGAATCGTCCTAACACACATTTCTCTCCCCTTTCTCTGAATTCCTAAACAGTCTCGCCCAAGAGACTCTTTATTTCTTTGGTCCCTGTCAGCAGTCCTCGACAAGTCTTCGTTTTAGATGTATTTATTTTCTTCCAACTTGATTGTAATCTGAAAGAAAGAAACTCTTGCCTCTTACTTCTGGATCTGCCTGTTACTTAAAAAGTGCCAGTTGAGGAGACTGACTGGGGTAAAACTGATAGTGACAGCTCATCAGGAGAAAGGCTCCTCCAGTGAAAATTTCTGCCGTGCCTTCTGTCCTGGGTCCTCTACAAATAATTAAGTACCTTTGTCCTCTCAGTGAGTGGCTCTGAAACATTGTTGTGTTGGAGACATTCTCCCTTACTCCTTATTCCCTTTCATGACCCAGCTCCTTGGCTGACCCCTAGCAGAAAAGGATACAATGCTGGAAGTGCTTTCTGAGTGAGACAGGGGATGTGGGTGGAGTCCCCTGAATCAGGAGGAACGAGAAACTGAATTGCCAAAAGAAATTTTATCATCCTAATAAAATGAAGCACATGGTTTGCATTCCAGGTCCTTCAACTATTCTATGGGAACCCGGGCATTTTCCCATGACAGTATTTTTATCCCTGATGGGGGAGCGGAAAGTGAGCAGACAGTTCAAGCAATGTCACAGGACAACATCCTGGGCAAAGTCAAAACTCTTCAGGTAAGACAGCTTGAGACGGGAAGGTCAGAGTCAGAGGAGTGGGCCCGGCTGTGGAGGGAAGTGGGAAAATCCCTAGCTTGGCCTTGAGTAACAGATTGGGAGGTCCAGGAGTAGCTCCTGGTGAGAATTTTTGCTTTCTCAAACCTGACTCAGTTGTCTGGAAGCGTTCTGTCCACCTGTGAGAGGTACACTGCTGTCATTGTACCCACCTGCATGTATCCCTTCTCCTCTTCTCTCAAATTGTTTGCTCGTTTTTAACTGGACATCACGAGAGCATGTCCCCAAGAGAAGCTGCAGGACTGGGATGGGAGGAAAGCGTTCCTAACATGAATTGTGGGCCATAATCCCTGAGCACAGGGTTGACTGTCAGCTGAGGGTGTGCACAGCGAGCATTCCCTTTCCAGGGCTCCATACTTGGACAGTGAGTGGTGAAACTCTTTATTATTCTGCTGTGTTTGTAAATCTCCCTCCCCTGAGCCACCCTGTCTCAGAGGAAGGCCAGGAAGCTCTTAAACCTCACTCCTATTCATGCCGCCGAGTTGGGCACTTTTCCTGTATAAAATTGACTCAGGTGGTAACTCCTTAATAATGAAAATATAATAAAGTAATCCTTCACTAAATGTGATTGAAATAATGGGGAATCCAGGAAAAGCAAGGGGAACAAAGACACCTGGGACCTCGTCGTGTAGGTTTGCCCAGTTGCTTGGTAGAATTCACTCATCTGACAGAAGTGCCTAAGAAGCACTTCTCTCTCCCAAGATGGGAGAGCTTGGAGGTGATCCAAATTATGAACAGGGAACTCTGGTTTGCTGGTTTCCATCTGTGTGCAAGTCTACAACAATGAATGAATGAATGAATGAATGAACAAACAAGCAAAAAATAAAGGAACAGCTGGCTTGAGTAGCTACTGACACGATGAAGCATTGGACTCAAAGAAAATTTTCTATTTTCTTGAAATGTTCTTGTTTCTACTCAACATTAGCTATGTATCTTGTGATCTGTGTTTGGTTACATATTCCACACACACTCAGCTGAAGATAGCATATGGCAAGTGGGGAAATAGCCCACATCCTGGAACCACACCCAAACTTGCCTAGATCTTTATACCTACTGCCATCACTGCCCCAGGCCAGGGTTCTGCCCTCAGAGCTTACCTAGGCACTTCCTTCAAATTCCAGCATTTCCTAACCAGGTTCCATTCTTGGTTCTTGCTGGCTGTGCTGTTACATGTTTTATAGACTCAGAAGAAAAAGCTGTCACTTCTCATAGGTTGGAGAGGAGGGAAGAGTGGTGATGGCCCAAGAAAACCTTGACTTCCCTCCTCCTTACTTTTCCTTCTTGAAGTCTTTTGATTCCTGGACTATTATTTCTAAGAAGTTCTGAACCCCTGGCTCATAATATCCCCTTTCTAAGAGGAGTGACTTTCAGATTTCATTCCACGAACAGCTGTATTTTATGAGGGCTTTTGAGGAGTTCTTTAAAAATTAGATAATAATCCTCTGTGACATCACACCACATGCCACTGCCACTCCAAGAAGTGAATTTGGAGTTGTAAAAAAAACATAATTCTGCAGTATTGAAAATATAGAAACTCAATAAAAATATGTGAGTACCTGTTGTTCCTATTAACGCTATAAGGCACGAGTTTAAAGAATCTGATCTCATAATTAATAAAATGTAAAACAACCAACTTCCCTGAAGCAACAGTTCTATTAACAGGAAGAGAAGTGTGAGTAAAGCAGAATAACTGTCTAATTTGAGTGCTCTCCTTTGGACAATATCTTCTCTGCCTAATTTTGCTTCTGCTGCATGGATTCACAAGCTTCCTTACAGCTCTGTAGTTATATTTAAAAATATAATAGGCTTTGCTTTTTGAGGAGGGAGATGGGGACCATTACCATAGAAAATGTGATTTTTGGAGTGACTTCAGATATAACCGTATCACCCCCAAAAGACTGTGTTTTATTTTTCAGTCGACTAAGCAGTGTGTTCCTGGTAAGTCGTAGACACAGTAGTTAACTTTATTAACTTGCATGAATGCTTTGCATTTTTCCATGACAACGTGATGCTGGTGTTGACGCTTAGTAAGCAGCATAAAAGACCGCCCCCTCGTAGACGTGAGCATGGAATGAGGGTGTTCAGTTACCTCAGAGGCATGTATGTTTTTTGTCTGAAATTGTCTTTGTGTATGTGTGTATGTTTATTAAAAAAAGAGAGAGAGAAGTAATGGATAACACCTATTTGACAATGAATGTCCTGGCAAGCTGATTCGCCACTATTATCCAGACATTCTTTTGAAATGAGATTTCTACTGGAATGCCATTTAAAAAAAAAAAAAAAATAGCTGTTTTTCTTTGGCTTAAAGAACTTCCCAGCCCTTGGAAACCCACAGAACCGCGCCTGTAATGCTGCATTTGGAAAGGTTGCCCTCTAGTGTCCACACGTGGTCATCTCAGCTAGAACTGTTGTGTGTTGCACCTGTGGCCTTTAGTCTCTCTCTCCTGAGTACAGAATGACTGAATATAGCATAAATCAACCTACACTTTTCTGAATAAAGTGAATCTACCACCTGCCAAAATTTCTGTGGCAAATGAATGAAACTTTAAAAGAAAAATTATGTTTTTTGTGAGTATAAAAATAATACATGTGCATAGTGACAACAAATTTTAATATACAGGAAAGTTATAGGGACAAAAACAACAATGATGTCCTTTTTGAGGACTCTGTACATAACAGTCAGATGCATGGCCAGTGGGTGAAATAAAAAGCCTGGACTAGGCCTCTGCCACCACCTGGCTGTCTGGCCTCCGGTGCAAGTCATTTAGCCTCTCTGATCCTCAGTTTCCCCATCTGAAAAATAAGGGATGCATGTGATGGATGATCTGAAGGGCCCCTCCAGTTCTTAACATCTGCCATCTATACGAAATCACTGTTCACCTGCTAGAACACGGAGTAGCTTTGTAAGCTTCACACTTCCTTGCGTTTGGGCAGCAGTGACCTTGATGTTCCCTATGGCTGCGCAAAGCATAGATCAGGGAGAGTGCCTGTTTATTTGAGATCAGACCAGGCTGTGAAGTGTGTACCAACCGAGGATAAAACTCAGGAGGATCACAGTCTAAGCGGGCAGGTGATTTTTAGAATTATACCACACCTTTGTCAGGAAATGCTTAGTCTATTAGTCCTCAGACTATTTAGCTCAGGAGGGAAAACCTCCATCCTCAGTAGCTGCTATCTCCTGCTGAGATGGATTTCACTTAAAAATGCCCAACTCATATGTTTGAGGATTTTGACACCTCATGCAGCTGTCAAGGACACAAAGAATAAACACCTGCTCTTAGCCACTTCTTCGTAGAGCAGATGTCTTTAAATCTGTACGTTTTTTCTTTAGCTTTTTAAAAAAATTCCTTTTAACTATGAGAGTATCTTCAGTTCACTCAAGAAGGCAGCAACTTTCTTTTTCCTCTGCTTTGTTCTTAGAGATGTGGTCTGAAGAATGGCTTTGAAAAATCTGGGGGAATCTAAGCCCTGGCAGTGTGAGAGCTGCAGAATATGATGTGCTTGGAATTTCCACACCGTAGGCAAAAGCCTCATAAATATGGATGTGCATTCCTATAACATCATTCTCCAGCATTCCATATTACAACAAAATGGCCCAATTTGAATGAATAAAATATAGTCCCTTTTAGCTCACATTCCAGTCTCAACAGTAACTCCATTCACAGCCACAAGCAACACGGACTCTCAGTATAGGCACGACGTTCCACTCTCCCCTCTGGTTATAATCGCAGGATGTATAAAGAGCCTGTGGGTATTTAAAAGAAAAAAAAAAAAAAGATGGAGGGAGTGGAAGTAGTTTATTTCTCTGAAAACTTAAGGGCAGGCTCGTCTTAACAGTCTGGTTCGCAGTGATTGCTTCTATTAGAGTTCCTCTCCTGACAATGCCTGAATAGTGGGCAGAATTGCCAAAAAGCCACGTTTATCCTTGTCATCAGTTCACATGACACCTGAGATTGCCAAATAGGTTTTAACAGTCACCTTTTCATTGTCAATAAATCGCACACAGTGTCACAACAGTCCAGTCTTCCTGAGTCAGGGGAGGAAGCATTTGGAGCAGGAACCGCAGGGGAGGGAGAAACGTGCAGATGCAGGGGCCTTGGCCTGGAGACCCTGAGGATCAGTCACCATGGCCTTGACCCCTGTGTCCTGCCCTGGCCTTGTTCCACTGTCTGTCCCTGACAGCTGCAGGCTGTGCCTGTGAAGACAGTCCTTTGTCTGCACAGAGAGGCTGCAGCCCTGTCCCTAAGCAGTGGCCCTCATTTCTTTGATGACCTGGGTCCTCCCCTCCTCCACCCCACTTCCTCCTCCTAAGCTCTCTATCCACCAGCCTGAATTTATTTTCTCTAGAGGGATTTAAATCAGCGGCTGTATGGAGATGCACATTGTCATTCTCAAAGGCAACAGCGTTATATTTCTTTTGCCAGGATGAATATATCTGTGGCATAAATCAACCCTTTGATATACACACATTCTCATTCCCTCCCTCCCTCCCTCTCCCTCTCCCTCCTTTCTGCTCCTCCCTCCCCCCAATCTTCAGCTGTTGTATCTGCAGTCAGGTCTACAGCTCTTCCTGGGCCTTCTCACTCTTCCTAACCCTAGGCATTTCCTCTGCCCCCTGCACCTTCCTCTCAGTCTGCCTTTCTTCTTTAACTCTCCACTTCATTTCTCAGCATTACACTTTCCATTTCCCAGCTTTGTCCCCTGTACCTGTTTCTCTTGTTCTTATTCCATCTATTTTTCCCCCCATTTTTCTCTTTCCTTTTCCATTGGTAGCCACGATAGCCACCCCATCTTTGGAGTTTATTTCAATCTGTTACATTTTGCCATATTCTTTTTTGTCTCTCAAGCATCAGGCTGGACCAACATCAGGATCTGAAAAAATGCCCTCATGAAGAAAAATATCAGCATATTCATTCTTTTTTTGATGGTGGCAAAAATCCTAACTAAATGGCATTCAAGTGTTAGGCCAGGTTCTTCTTGGAAACTCATTAAAGAATTATTCTTTCCACTGTAAGTAGAAGAAATACCCTCATTGTAGCCCTTCAAGAGCATTGGTGGATGGCAGGCAGACCCTGACAACAGGTCTCAGTCTAAGGGGATTTAGAGCAGTTTCCAGCACTTAGCCAACACTCCTAGAGAAGGGATAACTGGTAAACCAAAGGCTGGGCTGGGAGTCGCGGACACAGGAACCATCCCCGCTGTTCTGCCCAGGTCCGCATCCCTCTCCCACAGGGCAGCAGAGTGAGATGGGCCTATGACTTTGTTACTCCGTGTCCTCTTGTCTGACTCCATCGGCTGTTCTAACCGTGTCTGCTTACTGATCTGCTTAGAGTAGATACTAACTGCCGCTTCCTGCTAAACTTGTTTTTAGAGACACCCTTTTTCAGCCTTCTCCTCCCCGAAACCCTTTCAGGCTGCTCACGCTGTACTTCACTGGCTGAACTCGGGCTTTGGATGTGTGCTCCTTCCTGTGGTGCCAGGGGAGCCAGGCTCAGGCTGAAGTACCAGCAGATCAAACACAAGTCCTGTCTTTCTGTGCTCCTGACTTGGCATGCTGGGGTGCCCAGGGCTGCGGGGAGGGGAGTCCTGGGCTCATCTCTTTCATGTCTCTGCAGTCTCATTGTCTACCGTGCAAGGCCGAGGGATTGCTGGGTGAAGGTGGGTGGATTTGGTACCCTTTGAGTTCAAAGGGAGAAGGGGCATTTCCCTCAAGGTATTCCTCTGCCAGAGAACTTCAGTAAAGTATGAAAAATGCTGCGTCATCTCTTTATTTCTGCCCCTGGAAGAAGAAGGAAGTGCGCTGTCAAATTTATGAGAACCAGTGGAGCACAATGAAAATAACTCTAGATGCGGTTTTAGAAGACCTAGATTCAGATTCCTCCGGGGCCGCTCATATTTTCCATAAGTTTGTGTCAGTCACCTCTCCCCACTGGACCTCTAACCTTTTTTAGTAAAATGAGGAGGTTGGACTATGTGATTGCCAAGGCTTTTTGCAGCTCTGTGGGATTTTTTTTGTTTTTAATTTTTTAAAATTTATTTATTTTTCCCCCAAAGCCCCAGTAGATAGTTGTATGTCATGGTTGCACATCCTTCTAGTTGCTGTATGTGGGACGTGGCCTCAGCATGGCCAGAGAAGCGGTTCCTCGGTGTGCGCCCGGGATCCGAACCCGGGCCGCCGGCAGCGGAGCGCGCGCACTTAACCGCTAAGCCACGGGGCCGGCCCTAGCTCTGTGGGATTAAATATTAGCCAGATTAAAGATAAATATCAGATAATGTATTCTCTATTTTTTTTTTGAGGTACATAAAACCCAAGTACCTAGACCTAGAGCAGCAGTTCTCAGCCAGAGGCAATTTTACCTCTAGGTAAAATTGGACCACGTCTGGAGCATTTTTGGATGTCTGGGGGGGGGGGGGGGTCAAGGGAGGGATACGGTTTGCTACTGGCATCTAGTGTCCAGAGGCCAGGGGTGCTGCCAAACATCCTACAATGCACAGGACCGCGCCTCACAGTGAAGAATTATCTGGCCTAAGATGTCAATAGTGCCGAGGTTGAGAAACCCTGATCTAGATAAAGGCGGTAGTTTGTACGGTATATTCCATTTGGTGGTCTTTCAGATTACCACGGCATACCTCTTTTTCTTCCTGAATGTTGTTCATTTTCTCTACCACAGCCCATTAAATATTTTGCCCCTGCTTTAGCTATTATGTTTATATATTTTTCTTCAGGAAATATAGTTCCTTTTCTAATCTGGCCTTTTTCTAATTCTAAATACTATTTCTTTTCCTAATTTCTACCCCGTTTTTCCCTCCCTTTTGCTTATCCTTTAAGCTACCTCTCACCAGTAATCAAACCCTCGTTGGCTCTTTCCTCCTGCCTACTTCTCTGTCGCTTCCCCACTTGGTTCCTTCTGTTCCCTCGTTCACAGTGGGTAGCTGCAGCAAGGCAAAGAGGAAGTCCTAGTGGCAGGACAAGGTTCTTTCCTGTCCTGTCCATGATTTCAGCATGGATCACGGAAAGACTGCTGGCCCTGGGGCCTTCTTCACCTTGGCAGTGGTACCCACTCTGGCCAGAACATGGTGTTCAAGCCAGGGGCTGGTGAGGACGGTAGTTGAGTATAAATATTCAAGGGGAATGTGTCCACTGTGTCCCTTGGACAATGTTGGCATCTCCGTGAAAGAGGTGGCTGGATGAAAAAGCTCGTGGCTTGAAGGTAGGAAGGAAAAAGAACAGAAGCTGGAAAACAGATTAACTTATTACAGGACTGCATCGTGGTTTACTGGCATGGTGTTTAGTCCAGAAACCAGTTGTGTACAGAATACGCCTCAGTGCCTACTAGATATGCTGAGGAACCTGGCTGTGCTTGTTGTGAACTGCTTCACCGCTTCAGAACATCTTTCTTTTGTTTCTCTCCAGCGACAGCTGGGCAAGAACATCAAGTATGGGCAGCCACCACCCAGTGCCATTCCCATGAAGAAGGCAGACAGTGGGGAGGCTAGCTTAGAAGAGGATCTGTTCCTGACCAGTCCCATGGAAATCGTGACTCAGCAGGACGTCGTCCTCTCAGACGCTGAGAACAAAGTAAGGCTCCTCCAGGAAATGACTTGATTGCTAATAAGCCCGGGGAGGATGTCGGGCAGTGGGAGGGGCATGTAATAATCCTGAGGTCTGCAGTGTGGGGAATAAGGTGGGAGAAGCTTTTCTGATGAGTAGCAGACACCTGGAGAGCACTTGCTGGGCAGGTGCCTTGACCTGCAGTGGGGCCAACTTGGAGGAGGGAAGAAGAGACATGGCCTTTGCACGTGCTTGTCCCAGTGTCTTCCACTTACTCTTTCAGAATCAGGTGGGCCTACCTCTTCTGGAAGCTTACTTCACCCCCGAGCTGTACTATGTACTCTGTGCCTTTGCTGTGCATCTTTAGCACTTGTTAACATCTGTACCCCATCTGTATCTATTTCACTGTTTTCTCTCCATCTCTAAACTTGAGTTCCTTGAGGAGAAACTTGATCTTACACATCTCTGTGTCCCCAGGACTTAGCTAGTGCTCACTTAGTAGCACTGAATAATTATTTGTCGAATTGGACTAATTTAAAGGAAATGAGAAAAGAAAGAAGTAGGTGCTCAACAGGGCAGAACATGTCAAATAGATCAGCTTGAAGTCTTCTTAGTCTGGAAAGAAAGTCACGTGGGTCCAGCACTGTCCTATCTAAATTTGGTCTTTTGACACTTTGAAAGAAACACTATGAGCGTATCCTGAAATGAGAGTCCTTCCAGCAGCAGAAGGGACGCCCTCAGGCCTCTTATGGGAAAAGGAGCAAAGGTCCTCCCACAGCGAGAGTAAAGACTTCTCTAAGAGAGGCACTGAGTCTTCCAGTGTTAAAAGAAAGCTAATTCTCTGTGCTCTGCCTATCGAGGTGCCTGAAATTACACTGGGTGGATTAAGATAGGCATGCCCCACAAGATGTCATGCTTGTTATCAGCTGATAGGTCATAAGAGTAGTAAGAAAGATAAGCAATTCGCAGAGCAAAGTGAGGAAGGAAAGAAAAGGATGGGCCCCCCCATTGCCCATCTCTGCCTCGGCCTGGCCCTGATGACCCCGGTGCCCACACATGCAGGTGGTGGGTGGTGCATCGAGTGAAGCAGGGATGGGGCCCATTCCTCCTGCCAGGTCCAGAAATGCTCTCTGCAACCCTTCCAATGCTAGGCAGCAGCAGTGGCCCTCAGCCTTGATGCAGGGATTTCCTCCGGACCGAAGCAAATGTCTTCCCTGTTACTGATGATCTAATAAGTGCAAGACTCTGTGCCCTGGGGGGGAAGGAGGATCATTTGTTCAGCAGGCGCTGTCCGGGCTGTGGTTGTTACAGAGATGAGCCACATTAGACAAGGTGCTGCCCCTGTGTAGTTTACATTCTAACGAGAGGAGAGTCAATGGCAAACAAGTCAACAAAAAAATAAATATAATTTCGGATCAAGAAAGATGCTGCATAGATAAGAAAACAGGGTGATGGGAAAGCAAGTAACTTGGGGGGGAAGAGGTTGCTTCTTTAGATAGGGAGGTCAGAGCAGCCATGAGCAGACCTAGCTGGGAGGCCGTGTTCTAGGCAGAGGGAAGAGCAAGTGCAGAGGCCCAGAGATGGAACCGAGCTTGTCCTGGAAGAGGAACAGAAAGCAGGCCGGTGTGGACGGCCGGACCCTGGTGGAAGGTGAAGTGTGGGTACAGCGTGGCGTGATGGCCAGATCATGTAGATGACAGGTAAAGGGTGAATTCTATTCTGAAAGTGCTAGGAAGCCTCTGAGTAATTTTAAGCAGGGCAGTGACATAATTGGATTTGTGTTTTCTAAAGATGCTTCTAAGTGTGGTGCAGAAAGTGGACTGAGGTAGGGCAAGCTGACGTTATTGCTGTGAAGGGACGATGAAACCCTTTTGTAAGTATTGGCGATACAAGATAGAAGGTATAGTGGGCCATCAGAAAGGTGCAGATGTAATGTGGGGTGAGTGTTTCCAGGGCAGGCGAGGTGACCGGGGCATGAATCTTTGGCCTTTTTCTTCTCCTTCCTGAGTCTTTTTGCCTCCTCTGGTCATTCACCTGCTCAGCCCAGCCCTTTGTGTGCGGCCTCGGTGGGACCTTCTTTTCTCCTCTAGAGAAGAGGTCTGGCAGGTGAAGGGGATGGAAGGCAGCCCACAAAGCCAAAAGCTCTGAGATTGGAGGCCGTGTGTGTAACACAGCCCTGCTTCCCAGGTAGGGTGGCTGTAGGGCAGCCCCAGATTCTCTCAGCGGTGGGGAAACACATCAGGGACTGAGGTTGGAGACACCCCAGATGGGAAATGTAGTGAGCTTGGGGAGAGGGGAGTGCACAGGAGTCCCTGTGGAGTGTGGACATTAGCAAAGTCCCCGCTGTGACTCCTGCCGGCTCTTTGAAGCCAGCCGCGCCCCTATGTGGAGGAGGTGGCGGCCCTTTGCAGGCACAGACGGTGTCTGGTTATCTCCCCAGAACTTCCTGTTCTGGCATTTGACTTGAGCGCTCTCTTTGCTGTTCCAGTCCAGTGATACGCCAAGCTCTCTGAGTCCTCTGAATCCACCTGGAGCCCGAAGTGAGATGGAAGAGAAGGTAATATGATTTGAACTTATGTATTTAGCTTCCTTACTTACCTTCCATTTCTCCTTTTTTTCTTGCAATCTGCTGCTTCATTTTTCCGTTCATAAATGCTGCGTTCATCCATTACTTTAAATTCCTTCAAAATGCAGCCAGTGGTAGATGTTGGAGCGTCTGTTTCCATGGCGATGCAACTGCTGGAACTGAACCCTACTCTGAAAAATAGCCACACTCCCAGCATGCATATTTTTGGAGTCTTAAATGTTGATAGTTTTTCTAAGTGTATCACTTCAAGACACTGTTAAGCTGTTGAAAAAGACATTCCAGAACATTTGAGGGTACCTGGGTCTGTAAGGAAAAGAGTTTCTTTCTATTTAGAGATGCCAAAAAAAAGACCTTAGCATTTCTCTACTTGTACATTTTTTTTTTTTTAACTATTTTGTGTTCCTTTGAGACCTGGGACTTTACCTGCAGGAGTCTATGGAACCCTGTCAAGACTGTGTGCCCCTCTTTTGTAGAGGCTGGTTTGCTCCCATGAGGACTTTTCACCTGCACAGGGGTCCAGGTGACCTCCCAGGGTCTAGCGGACAGTATAGTGAGCAAGGTATGTCCCCAAGTCTTCTGAAGGAGATGGCTCTAGACAGTGCCATCATGCAGACAGTGAAGAAGCCCAGCTGGAATAACTAGAAATGAAACATTGCATTTAAATCTCAGCTTCATGTGCTTATCTGTGTCTTCAATATATCACATTTGGCTCGAACTCCTTTTACTCATGCATCTGTTAGGGGATGGAAATAAATGTTTAATTCATCTCTCTTCAACAATAGTTCAGAATTTGATACCTATGATAAAGAAAACCCTAAATAAATAAAAGCTAGGAGACCAAAGGCTGGAATTATTTTTCCTTACTTTGGTGCTTCCTGTTATAAATTAATATTTACTGAGCATCCGTTTTGCTCTTGGAGTTAGCTTGGGCCTTTATCTTTTGTGCATAAATATGGAAGGTAATTGCAAAAAGCAAAGCCACCAGCTAAACCCCAGTGACTGCATTTATAGCGTGCACACAGTCAGGTAGATGAACCCTGGCCTGTCTCATGCTGTCCTCACGTCTGAGAGCGCCTGGCACAGGCAGACAGGGCTGTGAGCGCCCTCTGCCGCACGTTGGCGAGGTATGGCCAGGAGCCCTTGCCTGGCTGCTTGCCTGTAAATTCTCTGTAGTTACAGGCATGGCTTCTTACCATCTGATTTCATTGTGGCCTCTGGGTTCAGGCTGAGCCATGGTCCCTCTGACCTTTCTAATTCTGTGCAGTTCGTCTGAGGGTGTGGTTTGATCGCATCCGTATTACGGAACTGCACGCGTTGCTGCAGTTCATCCTTTGAAGAGTGGCCCTTCCCTGGTGGCACATTTCTGCCCTTCATTTTCTCACCAGGGCCTCCTTTCAGCTTCTCAGTGCACTCAGTGCTCTGAGACTTGGAGTGATGGCGCTAAACTGTTTGTGCAGGCTGGAAATCTCATGCCCTGGGTGTAGATGCTATACTTTATTGTCCCTTCATTCCTTCAACTAATATTTTTATTGAGCATTTACCAGATGAGATTTGCTACTTGGGCATAAAGGAGACAGATACAAAGATCAAAAAGACACATTTCCTGCCTCGAAGGGACTAAGGTAGGAGCTGAAGTCTGTACACCAGTGTCTGAGGTAGTGAGAAGGCTCTTAGAGTCTTAGAGTTCTTAGCATAGACATGAACTAGTCCAGAGCTCAGCTAATCCAGAGCTCAATAACCTACTACCTCTTCTAGGCTTTGTGGCCATAAGGTTGCAACTACAAGACTCTGCTTCCTTCTGCTCTTCCTTTGTAGCACAAAAACAGCTAAGGACAATGGACAACGGGTGTGGCTGTGTGCTAGCAAAACTTGATTTACCGAAACAGGCTGGATTTGACTCCCTGGCTATGTTTTGTCAACCCCTCATCTACTCTAACCCCCAAATTATGCAGAGTAGGTAAATTAGTCCCTGAAAGGTTAAATGATCTTTACAAGTGAATGCAAATATCATTGGCGGAACAAATAGTCAACATCCTGTCTTTTGATTCCAGGAACCCGGGAGCCCCTCTGCGCGCCAGCGTTCCCTGGGCGAGGCTGGGCAAGGCACAGGCTCCAACAATGCTGCCATTCCAGGATTCCCTGCACGTTGTTTTCTGATCTGGACTGACTTTATATTTCAATGTCTACTCTAGGTTGTTCCAGTTAAACCGTCTCGGCCAAAAAGGCACTTCTCTTCTGCTGGCACCATCGAGAGTGTCAACCTAGATGCCATCCCCCTGGCCATTGCTCGCCTGGACAACAGTGCGGCCAAGCACAAACTGTCCGTTAAGCCAAAAAACCAGAGGGTGTCAAAGAAGCACAGGCGACTTGCCAGGGTACGTAGATCCCACCCTGGCTGACCAGGCAGATGCCCTTGCTTGCAGAGCACTCATTCTACCATGTAGGGTGGTTGGGGCTGGACCTGTAGAAGGAACTAGGTCCTCCCCATGGGGGAGTTGGGTGTGTGACAGTGAATGAGGGTAAGCAGGCCCGTTCACTTTCCGTTGTCCTGTCTGTCATGTTACCCTCCGGGAGGTTGGTGCACCTGAGAGAGAGAGGCTGCTGCCTGTGAGGGCTCCAGACACTTTGTGTTTGCTTTGCAGTGGGAAGGTGGCCCAGCTTTCCTCTGTCGTGGCTTAGCCAGAGGTTCTTTGGTTTGATTAGGGTGGACTTCAAAGTCACAAGTTTCAAGGGACATTGATGAAGTGTAAATCTCATTTTTTCCCTCATCTTTCTAATGCTGGGCTATGGGTTCTCCTGTGATTCATTGAAGTTCTGTCTTCCCCCGGCACAGTTTATTCTTGGGGTGACAGATGCCCAGATTACCTAGCTCTGTACTTAGAACAGCTGCCCCTTCTTTTTGAGATTAAGAGGGCCACCTTTGTGAACAGGATGAGAATGGTTGCCGGTGCAAAAGGAAAAGGCTAATTCTGTTTCCCTTACCAATGTTAGGATCGACCAAATGAGCAAGGTGGCCTTCTGCACCAGCTGTCCCTGGACCAGAACGGACACCCTGCAGAAGACAAGCCAATTTGGCGTGAAGAGGAGCCAGAGCCGCTGGAACCTGAAGAAGAGAAGAGACGCCAAGAAGAATACTGGCGAGAACTTGAGGCCAAGTGCAAACGGCAAAAGGCTGAAGCAGCCGAGAGGAGACGCCTGGAGGAGCAGAGACTCCAGGCCCTGGAGAGGAGGCTTTGGGAGGAGAACAGAAGGCAGGAGCTCTTGGAGGAGGAAGGAGAGGAAGAGGAGGGAGAGGAGCAAGAACTACAGCTAGCAGCAGAGGAGAGGCAGAGACTGGAACAGCAAGGTTGCCAAGGCCAAGAGCAGAGGGAGCAAGAGGAAAGGAGGCACGTGGAGGCCCAGGAGCAGGAGCAGCTGGAGGAGGAGGCCCAGCGACCTGAGAGACTCGCACAGCAGGGGGAGCTGGAGGCACGGGGCAGGCAGGAGGCCGAGGAGCAGCGGCAGGAAGAAGAGGAAAGAGAGTTGAAGGAGCTCAGAAGACTGGAGGAGCTGGAGGAGCAGGGACGGCGGGAGGCCGAGAAGCAGCGGCTGGAGGAAGAGGAGAGGAGGCTGGAGGAGCTCAGGCAGCAGGAGGAGCTGGAGGAGCAGAGATGGCGGGAGGAGGAGGAGGCAAAGAGAAGGGAAGAGCTGAGGGAGCAGGAGGAAACGGAGGCACAGAGGCTGCGGGCAGCGGAAAAGGAGCGTGGAGAAGCACTGAGAGGAGAAGCGAGTCAGCTGGAGCTAGCCGACAGAAGGGGCTTGAGGAGCCCACTTCAGACGGACTTTGCAGAGAAACCAGAAGAACAAGAACACCTGAAACCCAAGAAGCAGAGAGAAACCTCTGAGGAACCAAGTATTTTCGAGAAGCAGAACCGAGAGGCCGAGCCATCAGGAGAGCGGCGGGGAAAGCAGGGAGATTTTTATGGGGATGATCGTTGTGTTCCAGAGGAAAAGAGAGAAGAAACTAACATAGAGCCCCCCCAGAAACAAGAGGCGCAAGTGGAAGAGAGGCTGGCTCCAGCGCAGACGAAGGAAGCTGCGGCTTCAGAAAAGGACAGAGAGGTGGAGGAGCTCAGATGGCAGGAAGTGGATGAGAGGCAGACCATGCCCAGACCCTACACTTTCCAGGTATCATCCGGAGGGAAACAAATTCTCTTCCCCAAAGTCAATCTGAGTCCAGTGACACCCGTGAAAGACACAGGACTTGCCTCTGCTCCCCATGAGCCACAGGCCCCCAGAGCCAGCCCAGCCTCCCACGCCCTGCCCTCGTCCCTGAGCATCCCCCACACCGCCATTCTTGTCACAGGAGCACAGCTCTGCGGCCCGGCTGTCAACCTGAGCCAGATCAAGGACACAGCGTGCAAGTCTCTCCTGGGCTTGTCAGAAGAAAAGAAGCACCTGGATGTCCCCGCCGTAGAGAACCCACCCCGAGCCCCCGTCGACCACCGGTCAGGCAGCGGGAAGGCCAGGCCTCCCCAGGAGTCTCCAAGCAGTGTGGCTGCACTAGCCGAATGGGCTTCCATTCGGTCCAGAATCCTGAAGAACACAGACAGTGACCAGCGCAGCGAGATAGATCAGGGGCGGCCTGGTGATGAGCACACTCCCAGGGGCCGAAGTGATTCCCGAGGGAAGCTCCAGAAGACCCCGCCACTAAATGCAAAGTTCTCTATTATGCCTGCTTGGCAGAAATTCTCTGATGGTGGCACAGAGACCTCCAAACAGAACACAGAAGCAGAAGGCATTAGAAAAAGACCTGTGCTGGGACCCAGCGAAGAGACAGCACCCCAGCCCCTGGCTGCTGATCCTAATGAGCACCGGAAGGGTGCAGAGAAACTGGTGGTGCACCAGGAGCCAATGGACACCACAGAAGGATGCAAATTTGCCAAAGACCTTCCATCTTTCCTTGTTCCAAGCCTTCCTTACCCTCCACAGAACGCTGTGGCCCATGCAGAGCCTGGTACCACTTTGGACAGCGAGACTACAAGTGGTATAGGAAAGCCAGACCCCATGATGCCAGGTGGGGAGGAAAAAGCCTCACCTTTTGGAATAAAGTTGAGAAGGACCAACTACTCCTTGCGCTTCCACTCTGACCAACAGGCCGAACAGAAGAAGAAGAAAAGGCACAGCAGCACAGGGGACACTATCGAAGGGGGGCCGCCTGCACCAGGGAGCACACATGGAGAGAAAGAGACACACGGTGTGGCCCTCAGGCATGGCTCGTCGCTCCCCCCAGAGAGGAAGCAAGCACTGTCCACCTGGAAGGACTCTGCTGAAAGCCCTTCCAGCCGCTCCCCTCCGGCAGCCCAGCCCAGGCCCCCACCAGTGAGCAGCCAGACTCTGGCTCCAGAGCCGGACAAGGCAGCAAACAGAATGCCGCTGGCGCAGAAGCCAGCCCTGGCTCCCAAGCCCGCCGGTCAGACCCCGCCGTCCTCCCCACTCTCCAAACTGAGCAGGCCCTACTTGGTAGAGCTGCTGGCTCGCCGGGCGGGGAAGGCCGACCCGGAGCCCAGCGAGCCGAGCAAGGAGGGCCAGGAGAGCGGTGCCCCCCGGCCGCCCTCGACACTGCCCCCTGAGGAAAGGAAGGCACAGAAGCGGGATGAGGAGGAAGAGGTTGCAACAGAGAGAAAACCAGCTTCCCCGGCTCCCTCTGTCACCCGGCAAGAAAAGCCTTCCCAAACACCCGAGGCTGGGAGGAAAGGTACGTAGCTGTAGGTGGGCAAACTCTGCCTCTGTCCAGCTCGTTGTCTCTGTCACAGCTAAAGTGGGAACTGCCCGAAGCTGGAAGGAGCCAGTGGAGCTGGTGTGGGAGCACTTTTCCCTTACTTAGAGGCCGGTTTGCCGTTCCTGAAGGTCCCTCACTCGCGAGTCATAGTGAGGCTCTTTACCTTTCCACTCCTTTAAATTTTGGAAATGCAGACTGACTCTGCTATGTGTCTGCAGCTCACATCCGTTAGTGATACTTACATGAGTAATAAGTTAAAGGTGCTGACACTTCAGACTAATATGCTTTCAGTTGACCATGGAAATTGAAATATAGTCCTAATTACTGAAGATTTCATTAATCATTAATCATTGTGAGGAGCTGTGCAATGATAGTAGAGACTGGAGTTTCCTAGACCAGGGACTGTTCTATCTCTGGGCAGTAGCAGCACCAAGGGGGGGCTTTCGAGAGCTCCATTGGCCTCAGGAGCCTTGGTGTAGATAGTTGACTTTGACTCAGTTTTATGCAAAGTGCTCTGCAAATGCATCCCACCCCAGCAGCTTGCCACTGCAAAGGCCGCCTTTTTTTTTTTTTTTTTTTTGAGGAATATCAGCCCTGAGCTAACATCCATGCCAATCCTCCTCTTTTTGCTGAGGAAGACTGGCCCTGAGCTAATATCCATGCCGATCTTCCTCCACTTTATGTGGGACGCTGCCTCAGCATGGCCTGACAAGCGGTGCGTTGGTGTGCGACCGGGATCCGGACCCGGGCCACCAGCAGTGGAGCGCACACACTTAACCGCTACGCCATGGGGCCAGCCCCTGCAAAGCCCTCCTATAAAGAAATTTTAGAGCGAACCCTGCTCCTGGCTGCCCCTCATGTTTCTACATAGCTGATGTTTGGGGCAGCTCAGTGATCACTGGATTGATTTGGGGGCCCCTGAGAACCTTCATCTAATTCTTGTCTTTTCTGTTTTGCGGAGTATGTCAGGTGTGGGTCATAGCCCAGGAAGTTACTCATATTTCTCAGGGAAATTCTCCCCTGGTCATTTCCTCTCTTTGGTTTAATTCTTTAGGTTTGGGGTGATTTTTGCAGAGAAAGGAGCTGTTTTTTGAGGAGTGTTGATTTGGTTACTTGTCTTAAGGAAGACCTGATCGTTCTTTTTAACCAAAAGGACTGGCATGTTTTTTTTTGTTTGTTTTTTTTTGTGAGGGAGATCAGCCCTGAGCTAACGTCCGTGCTAATCCTCCTCTTTTTGCTGAGGAAGGCCGGCTCTGAGCTAACATCTATTGTCAATCCTCCTCCATTTTTTTTCCCCCAAAGCCCCAGTAGATAGTTGTATGTCATAGCTGCACATCCTTCTAGTTGCTGCATGTGGGACGTGGCCTCAGCATGGCGGGAGAAGTGGTGCGTTGGTGCGCACCCGGGATCTGAACCCGGGCTGCCAGTAGCGGAGCGTGCGCACTTAACCGCTAAGCCACCAGGCCGGCCCAGGACTGGCATGTTGATCAGCTGTTTCCAGACCCTTTCTCTCCAGTGGTTTCTGTTTGTCCTGCCGATGAGGAGCCCATTTTCAGGCTTGTTTTGTACCTCTGTGCTGGGCCCTGGGTGGGGGATAGCCACGGTGAGTCCCCATGAGCCCGTTAAGAACTGTTCCTTAGTTCCCTATAGCCTTGTGGGTCTCATGGTCGCCCACTGGCTTTCAGAACTAGGTGTTTTGGGGGCCCATCTCTCAGCTGGAAGTCTTAAAGTTGAGGTGCCAGATGTGAGGTCCAAACCCTTCTCTCCTCAGGGAGAAGCTGGGAGTTGTGCATTGCCTCCCAGTTGTGGGTCACCGCGCTGGGTGTGGGGTTTATGGTGCGACTGCATCTCAGTTATTCCTACCCGTTTTGATGTGGTTTTTTTTTTTCCTGTTGGACTGATGTGTCGGAGTCAATCAGCTAGTTTCTGGATTTCTTTCAGAGAAATTGTTTCATATGTAGCTGTGGACTCTGTGTGTCTGTGGGAGGAGGGCAGTTCCAGATCCTCCTATGTCACTATCTTGAACCAGAACCCCCATTTTCAGTTTTGACCTTAGCTTTTGTGTCATTAGCTTTCAAGGTATCGTCAAAGTGCCTCTCACAGCCTGGCCTGCTCTATCAATCTCATATCTTCTCCCCAAAGAAATAAAGGTCCTGCTCTCCGCTTCTTTCTCATAGAGATGTCCCTTTGATTCTTAAAATTGTCTACCAAAAACTCTTACTGCCTCTGTTTTCTTTCTCGGTATCCAAATTCTGGGCTGTCGGACTTTGCTAATTGAAGTTTTCTTTATTTGGTAGAAAAGAAGCATGAAAGCAGGGACCTTGCACCTTATGGGTGGTTGCTGCCTGAAGACCACTGGGGTTTACCTGTCCACTCTAGGCCAGGGCTGACCAAATTTGTTTGATTGAACACTCCATCAGAATAAAAATGTTGACCCTGGACCTCCAATTTATTCATTGGTTGTGTACGTGTAGTACCATCATTAGCTAAAACCCCTGGAGTGCCATGTATACTTAGGGTGAAGTTCACTGAAACAACAGTGTATGTCAATCCACATTGTAGATCACAATGCTACCTTTTATTTTCTTTGGGCAACTTCTTGTCAGATCTGATTTCTTCATAAAGTGGCAGACAAAGAGCTTGTCAGCTCTGCTGTGTTCGTAAGCTTGCATTATTAGTAGCATATTAAATCTATAGTTTGCAGGAATTTACACATTTGTCCATTTCATAAGGCATCATTTAGTTCAAAAGAGATATGATACTCCATAAATTCATCTAACTGCAGAACCTCACATTATGCTAAAAGCAAGACAAGTGAGGACAAGATTGCGAGTTCTCTCCCCTCGTCGTATTGTAGTGCTCCCGGCTTCCCTCGGAGTCTTTAAACACCATTTGTTATCCATGACCTGATACAGGGGCTGAGGGAGGATGTCAGTACCAGTCTGAGTAGTAAATATTAGAAAAGCTTGATTTTGTTTTTATTTTTAGATTTAAAAATATACAAATAGAAATTCTAATTATTTTTCCTTCACCCCCCAGTGAATTGCCTTGCATATCCCCTAGGACACACACACCCCTTTTTTTGGAGACCACTGCATTAGAAAGAGGTCTGCATTCCCGAGGCTGAGGCCAGTGAGGACCAATACATAGGCCGGACCACTGGGAGGGCGTAGACTCTGAACCCACCCTGGTGGGAATTAAAATAGCAGTGATGAGCCTCCTGTGTTTGTCCTCCAACACTTGGATCTCATTCTGAAATTCCCACCTCCTTATGGTGGGTAGAAGAGATATTAAGTGCCCCTTTCTCCAGAAACCGACCTTTGGGAGCAGTGATTAGAACCTTGTAATTCTAGGAGGCACTTGCTCGTCCCTCCAGAACCTGAAGGAGGGAACATGAGTGAGCTGTGGTTCTCCCTGTCCACCAAGTTTAGAATGAAAGAGAATAGGTTTAAATTGTAGCAAAATAATTTTTTTTTCTTTGCTGAGGAAGATTTGCCCTAAACTAACATCCCTTGCCAATCCTCCTCTTTTTTTGCTTAAGGAAGATTAGCCCTGAGCTAATATCTGTGCCAGTCTTCCTCTATTTTGTATGTGGGACACTGCCACAGCATGGCTGGTGAGTGGAGTAGGTCTGCGCCCAGGATCCAAACCTGCAAACCTGGGCTGCTGAAGAGGAGCGCGCAGAACTTTAACCACTTGGCCACAGGGCCGGGCCCAACAAAATAAATTTTTAATTAAATATTATGAACTCCCCAACTAGAAAGTTTACGCAGTTAACAAAGAACATGTCTGTCTTTCAAAGCCTTGATTGAAATGAGGGGTTTTCCTGTTTTTGAATGATTTCAACAACACTCATCCTTTGTGCTTAAAATTTACAAAGTGCTTTTATTTACACTGTCTCATTCAGTGCCTGGAGCACATGATAGGTGGATGATCTTGGCTCCATTTTACAGATGAGGACACCAACATTTGAAAAGTTAGGTAGCTGACCTCCCCCCACAGTGGTAAAGCCTGGACGGGGAGGAGGAATTCTTTCCCAGGTGAAATGGTCTTCCCTTTACTCTACGATTGCCCCCAGTAATTCTCGTCTGGCATTTGTAAAATGCTGTAAGCGTTTAAAAACACTTTTACGTAAATGTCATTACTTCTTGGACTGAATGGCCTTAGTCATATATTTGTTGAAAAAAAACATTGTTCAGCAACTGCATAGGATTTAGCAAAACCTATTTCATTTTTTTCCTCGATGTTTCTTTAAACCTGATCTGTGACTCTCATTTTTCCCCCAGCTCTTGGGTAAAATCTTGGGCATAGTTCTTTCAGTCACTTAAAAAAAAAATTTTATTGTGATAAAAATGCCTAACATAAAATTTACCATCTTAACCTTTTTTAAGTGTACAGTTCAGTAGTGTTAAGTGCATTAACACTATTGCACAAGCAATGTCCAGAACTTTTTCATCTTGCAAAACTGAAACTCTATACCCATTAAACAACTCCCATTTTCCCCTCCCTCGAGCCCCTGGCAACCATCATTCTACTTTCTGTTTCTATGAATTTGACTACTCTAGCTACCTCATATAAGTGGAATCACATAGTATTTGTCTTTTTTGTGACTGGCTTATTTCACGTAATATAATGTCCTCAAGGTTCATCTATGTTGTAGCATGTGACAAGATTTCCTTCCTTTTTAAGGCTGAATAATATTCCCTTGTATGTATATACCATTTTGTTTATCCATTCATCTGTTGATGGACACTTGGGTTGCTTCCAGTTTTTGGCTATTCTGAGTACTGCTGCTATGAACACAAGTGTACACATCTCTCTTTGAGATCCTGCTTCAGTTCTTTTGGATAAATATCCAGAAATGGAATTGCTGGGTCTTATGGTAGTTCTATTTTTAATTTTTTTGAGGAACCACCCTACTGTTTTCCACAGCAGCTGTGGAAAACATTTACATTCCCATCAGCAGTGCACAGGATTCCAATTTTTCTACATGTAAACCAACACTTGTTATTTTCTGTTTTCTTGATAGTAGCCATCCTAATGGGTGTGAGGTGATATCTCATTGTGGTTTTGATTTGTATTTCCCTAATGATTAGTGATGTTGAGCATCTTTTCATATGCTCGTCGGTCATCTGTATGTCTTCTTAGGAGAAATGTGTATTCCAGTCCTTTGCCCAGTTTTTAATTGAGTTGTTTGTTTTTTTGTTGTTGAGTTATAGGAGTTCTTTCTATATTTTCAGTTACTTTTTGAAAATAAAAAGTCCTTAGGCACTTAGAGTAAGAACAGTCTCATGTTGGTAATTAATATATCCCCTCCAGTGCCATAATCAAAACTCCAAACACTATTTCAGATTAAAGTGTCTCCCTTCTAATTTGGCCTGCTTCAGGCTGAAATGCCTACAGTGGGGATGAGGGCATGGTCGACGTCTCCCCAGAAACAGGCTCCGGAGCTGGAGTAAAGCAGGGAGAGAGGTGAGGCATTGACGCTCGCTGCTCTTGGCTCACTGATGTTCTGTGCTGATTCTTCTGTGGGGCACTTCTGTGCCTTCCTCAGACCCTTCACCTGCCGCCTGGGCTCTTTTTCCTTCTTTTGTAGTTCCCTTACTACACTGATGCCTCTTCCAGGCCACCCTGCGTCCCTGGTTCCCACTCGAGGCTGCCCCTCCCTCGCCCACACGGCCCAAACGGCCCACACCTCATGCAGCACTCAACAAACAGGGAGGCCAGTGTCTTCCCAGCACAAGCTCCTCTTCTCTACTGCTGGCAGGCCCTTGGCAGCCACTGTCCTCACCTTTGGACTTCTCCAGGTGTGAATAGAACCTCAAGTCTGCCCCACAGACTCCAGGATACACAGTCAAGTCATCTGAGGACCTTCTCACTTGGCTTAGGCTCCTTTCCTCCCGTGTGGGGAGAGGATGTGGGAACACATTATGCTCCAACAATCTTTTCCAAAGAAATTCTCTATTCTGGCTTCTTCTGCCTCAACCCAGATTTTTCTGTGGCCTTGGGGTGGCTGATGACCACCTCCTGGGCCAGTCTCAAATAGGTGATGCAGCCCTTTCCTTCAGCATGTGAGAGTAGGGGCCATTGATTATTTGTTGCTGGCTTTGGGCATCTTCAGCTGAAACTCAGACAGGAGTCCCATTTTAACATCCTGTTTTCTGTGTTTTGATCCCCAAGTACAATCCAGACCTGTGAGGCCCTTTACACATACTGTGTCATAGCCTTTTTAAAGTCTGGTCCATAACTCCAGGAGGGGTGCTATTCAAACTACAGTTCTCAGGAAATAAAAATCTGGCTAGAGGTTTATCTTTCCAAATTATTTTAGACAATTTTAAATCGAGGCAATTATACTTTAAAGGGGTATTTTGACCGTTGTGATAAACAGTGGTCAAAGTTGTTGGCAGAAAACTGGCCAGTTGCTTTAATGACGTTCTCAAGCAAGTTCAGATGGAATGTTTGCTCTAGGATTCCCTTTTACATAATACCTTTAAATGGAAATGATTTAGATCTTGGCAGTTTGTTTTTAGATATTTTGCTGCCCTTGAGTAAAAAACCAAAACTCATTAAATTAGTTTAACTCATTAAATTAGTATGTAAAGCTTCTGAGTTAAGCAGAATGCTTAAAGTGGTGAATACTTTTTGATTTTCTGGTTAACTAAAGATTAATTCAAAACTCCTTTCAGTTTCAGTTAAAAAAAAAAAAACTTCTTGGGGCCAGCCTGGTGGCATAGTGGTTAAGTTCATGTGCTCCGCTTTGGCGGCCCATGGTTCACAGGTTCGGATCCCGGGCACAGAACTACATACTGCTCATCAGGCCATGCTGCAGCAGCGCCCCACATACAAAATAGAGGAAGATGGGCACAGATGCTAGCTCAGGACCAATCTTCCTCAAGCAAAAAGAAGATTGGCAACAGATGTTTACTCAGGGCAATATCTTCCTCACCCAAACAAAACAAAACAAAACTTCTGCAATGTGTCAGTTTTCTTTCCTGTGTTAGATCCTAACTGCATCTTTATTTGATGATTAGGGATGATGCAATGTCCAGGGCTCATTATAAATACGAATTCGCTTTATGCAGCATTATAGATCTAAAGGGTATAGAAAATTAAGCAGAATCTTTTTTTATGCTCGAATTCCTAATTAGAACTTATTTTGGTTCTTTTTCCTCAATATGAAGTCCAGTTGACTGAGAGCCCTGGTTGATAAGGTTCTGGATCATCAAGTATAAACTTCTATTGGGTTTCAAAAGAACAAGGACTATAGTGAGCCCTTTTCCTTTGAGATAGTGAAGGATTCAATGCCACAATGATATTTCTGAAAGTGCCTAATTTTTACTTGAGGGAAAAGAAGGGGATGCATCTCATAGACATAAATAATAAGAACAGCTCACTTTTGTAGAGCAGTTACTATATGCAAAGCACTGTTCTAAATGCTCTGATACCCAGGGTCTCTTTTAATCTTCACGGCAGCCTGATGAGGCACGTCCCATTATCATCTCCACTTTATGGATTAGAAACCGAAAAAAAGTAGCTACTTCTGTTTAGAGAAGTAGCTTTTCTAAGGTCACATAAGGTCAAACCCAGGTCTGCTCAATTCCAGAGCCCAGTTAATCTGATAGCCATCTTCTTTGAAGTGAGTTGCATAGGCGAGACAGTCAACACATGAAAAGCACAGACTGGAAGTTAAAAGTCCTGGGTTCAAACTTCAGCCTGTGTGCCAACTGCTGGGTGACCTTGGGCATCGCACTTGACTGCCGTGGACCCCAGTACTCGTGTCTATCAAAGGAGAGAGCACTGGACCAAAATCATGGCTTCCCACTGCATTCCTCAGAGCCCTGCTGCCCTCAGCAGCCCCACTAGATGGAGCCGTGCCCCTTTTTCCTCTTTCATACATTGGGTTTCACAAAAGATGTCTGTTGTTTGGGGAGGAGAAAAGGTTCCACTGAAAAAATAAATTTTAAAAAGTAATAAATAAAAAAAGAACAACAATGAATCAAAAAACGGCCTGGGTCCCCTGTAAACCTGAGATTTTATGACACTGGAGGTTTTGTTCTTTCTTCATTTCGAGGGAAGAGAAATGCTCCTGTTTTTCTGTTGAATCAAAGATGTTGCTTCCCCACCCAGGGGAGTCACTCAGGCATCACCACCGAGTTTGTGTTAGGAGGGGACAGTTGAATATTTCATGGGCTGATTAATATGTCACAAGTTTTAGGGGGTGAGTGACTGAGATAAGTGAGCAGTTTCACTGCAAACCTGCTTTTGTCTTTACAGATTCTGATCACAATTCCAATGTGGGTGTGTAGGGGGAGGTTTCCCACACTACCAAGCAATTCTCGGACACTAGCTGGGTGTCTTACATTTCAACTCAAGCTAACAGCAGGTTCCACAGGTTAAGGACTCAGTCTCATAGGACTGCCCCCCCTTCAGATGCCAATTGTAAGTCCAGGTTACCCGTTGTGCTTCTGATCGACTGCCTTAAATCAGAGGTTCCCATGACCCCTTCCTTGGGTTCAATTAATTTGCTAGAGTGGCTCACCAAACTCAGAGAAGCATTTTACTTACTAGATCACTGGTTTATTGTAAAAAGATATAACTCAGCAACAGCCAGATGGTAGAGATGCATAGGGCAAGTTATAGGCAAAGGGCAAGGAGCTTCCATGCTCTCCGAGGGTTTCACTCTCCTCAAACCTCCACGAGTTCACCAACCTGGAAGCTCTCCAAACCCCGTCCTCTTGGGTTTTTATGGAGGCTCCATTACATAGGCATGATCAATTAAATCATTGGCCATTGGCGATTGAACTCAATCTCCAGCCCCTGTCCCTCCCCCAGAGGTTGGGGGTGGGACTGAAAGTTCCAACCCTCTCATCACAAGGTTGGCTTCTCTGGCAACCAGCCTCTATCCTTAAGTGTGGTCCCAAAATAACCTCACTAACAAAATAGGAGGCACCTTTATTTTCTCATCAAGTGGGAAATTCCAAGAGTTTTAGGAGCTCTTCCAGAAATGAGGACGAAGACCAAATATATATTCCTTATTATAAATCACAATATCAGTCTTTTTTCCTGCAGAAAAGCCGGTGCTTCAGAGCAGGCACTCTTTAGATGGCTCCAAACTTGTGGAGAAAGTTGAAACCGCACAGCCCCTGTGGATAACGTTAGCACTGCAGAAGCAGAGGGGATTTCGGGAGCAGCAAGCGACTCGAGAGGAGAGAAAGCATGCCAGGGAGGCCAAACAGGCAGAAAAGCTCTCCAAAGAGAACGTGAGTAGTCTTCAGCTTTAACTTTGCCTTCTTGTGCTTGGCTCTCTTTTAGGTCGCAAAGATTTAAAAAAAACAAAAAAAGTTAACTGGGAGTGGCAGAGAGCACTTAGAAAGGGTAAAGTAATAAATACATTGACCACCGTTAAACCAGGGAAGCATTTTCAGTTGGAAATTTGATTTGGTTTCCTTATGCCCTTAGGTTAACCTGATTTGGCGGAATCCACGATATAATTAGTAGCAGCGATCCTCGGACACAACAGTTATGTGAGAAGTATGAAAATGATTGTTTGTGCAGTGAGTTGAGAGGAAATCAGGAGTCTTGCTCTGTGGCCCTGATTTTATAGTCAGTTCAATGGGGCTTCTCTAGGAAACGTAGTGTTCCCTCTTTGGGACATTTCCACTGAGCTGCTGCACGGCTGGGGGCCAGGATTGAGCACACATTGCTCCCAAGTGCAGTCCAGCTGCTCCTTTGGGAGAAGAGGTCAGGGCTTGGCAGGCGAAAGCCCCCAGAGCCTTGTGCGGTCCTGAGGTTGAAAACATGCTTTCCGTGACCTTCTCTGCCCACCCAGGTTGGTGTCAGCTCACAGCCTGGCAGCAGCAGTGTCAGCAGAGCTGGTACCCTGCACAAGTCCACCGCTCAGCCAGAAGAGAAGAAGCCAGAGACCGCAGTGTCCAGACTGGAGCGCAGAGAACAGCTGAAAAAGGCCAACACTCTTCCTACATCTGTGACAGGTAGAGAGCAGGTCCATTTCTATTTTAACTGTAGTTACAGGTTTTTCTTCTTAGAGCATGCTTTATTTCCTCCAGTGTAATAACTAGTACAGCATATCAGGCATTTCAAAGCACAGGCTGTCTCACAACCCCATTCATAAACTTTGACACTGATAAAGCACATCTGATAAAGACCACCAGGAACACTTAGCCACCATCAGTGGTGTGATGGTAAATGTTTAACAATCAGCTCTTCAGGAAGTGGGGAGACCTCTGATTTGTGGCATTTGCCATTTTCCATGGTGTAAATACTCCCACCATGGCCAATTTCAAACTACCTATGTGATATCAGCTGGCTTGCTAAATTCCTGAACATTTAAACCATCTCCAGGGGCCAGCCTGGTGGTGCAAGAGGTTAAGTGTGCACACTCCGCTGTGGTGGCCCAGGTTCGCCAGTTCGGATCCCGGGCGCACACCGACACATCGCTTGGCAAGCCATGCTGTGGCGGTGTCCCATATAAAGTAGAGGAAGATGGGCATGGATGTTAGCCCAGGGCCAGTCTTCCTCAGGGGGAAAAAAAAAAAGAGGAGGAGTGGCAGATGTTAGCTCAGGGCCCATCTTCCTCACACACACACAAAAAAACCATCTCCAACTCCCCACTGCCTGTAGTCCAACAAAATTAGGTTTATTAACTTGCTGTAGCAAGGGAGACTACATATCATATGAACCTTCTAAACAAAGGGAGAGACAAGATTATAATAGGGTTTGGGGGAAAGGGTGAAGTTTAGGGTAAAATTTAAGTGGAGCATTGTTTTGATAGGCTCAGAACAAAGCAGGGGTGTACATAAAGGGGTTGACATCAAGTCTGAGCTGAAAACTGGACTCAGGGTCCTGTTTCCTTTCACACTATAAAGCGAGATAAATGCGTGGAAGCTGTATCTGAAAACCTCTACCTGGAGGTCTGCACCTAGGGTGGAAATGGAAGCTGCTTCTCTGAATTATTGTGACCACGTGGCTCAGATGCTCCAGGCAAAGTATGATGGTCCCTTCTCACTAATGTGATTTCAAACAGCAAGTTTCTGACCAGCTGTGACTTTAGAGACCACGATTTTTCAGCTCTAAGTCCTTGATGTTAATTAACAACAGCTGTGTTTGTTTATACGTTCATGACACATGAGACACACTTTTTTTTTTTTTTGGTGAGGAAGATTGGCCCTGAGCTAACATCTATGCCCATCTTCCTCCACTTTGTGTGTGGGACACCTCCACAGCATGGCTTGACAAGTGGTGTAGGTCTGCGCCTGGGATCCGAACCCACAAACTCTGGGCCGCTGAAGTGGAATGCGCTGAACTTTAACCACTATGTCATGGGGCTGGCCCCAGAAACACATTTTTTTAAGTCTTTATTCTGTTAAAAGGTAAAATGATCCAATAATGTTTCCAACTATTTCCTTCTTACAAATCACTTGGACGATGGACGAATCTGAACGAGCTTCCTCCCAGGGGTTAATAGGGCATCTGGTTTCCCCACTAGGTAACCCTGTTCCCCAGAGGGCACTCAACCCCCAGACCCAGGCTTTTTATGCCTTTGTTACCTGCTAGCTGAGGTCTGTAAATGTAAAGAGGTCTCACTATTAAGGCTATATTTACTATTTGATGAGGGAAAAAAAAAACTTTATATTTGAAAACCACTTGGGAGCACTGTATTTCCCAGGAATCTCCATGGGCATTATTTCATTTGATCTTATGCTCAGGAATTAAGAGTTCTAAACATTATATGGGTATATCAGAGAGAGAATTCTTTCAAAATAAAGTGAAACCTCCAAACTCAAAGAGATCACACCTTTCTCAGCCTGTCTTCTTGGAAGTATCAAAGAGTTAATGCAGTTCAGCTTAATAAAGTGAGCCTTTGTTCTGAGTATTTGTCTTTTCAATAAGTATTTCCTGAGTTGTGCAAATGTGGAGGTCATTGCCACAAGCACTAAATATGACCCAAAGAATGGAACCCTCACCTTAAGAAGCCTCTAAGGTCTGGTAAAGAAAGTGATATGGTGCCAAGGAATTGTTAGACAAGACTGAAAGTTACGAGAGCTGGATCCTAGCAGGATCCGTGGGCCTCAGAGGGTGGAGGGACCCAGGGCATGCTTGGTGGAAGAGGGAGGTAACTGTTGACCTCACCAGCTTGATAAATTCACACTGCTGGTTTGATCTTTTTCTTCATGAAATTGACTGGTTGTATGACTAGAATCAAAAAATTTACCTTTTATTTCTTACTATCATGCAGGCATAGCTTGTGTGTCCAGGAAAATTAGGCTTCTAGAAAATTAGAATTGACTGCACTGTAATGTGTGTGCAAGAGTTATGATCACATAGCTTTGTTTCTCTAATTCTTCTCACCGAGGATGCCCAGTGCTTCACTGGGTTTTCCTTTCTGACTCTCATACTTCTGATAAATCAAAATGTGGCTCTAACTTAGTCCTTTCTCCTTTGCCTTCCAAACGAAATCCAGTGGAGATCTCTGATTCGGCTCCCCCGGCGCCGCTGGTGAAAGAAGTCACAAAGAGGTTCTCTACCCCAGACGCTGCCCCCGTGTCAACAGAGCCAGCCTGGCTGGCTTTAGCCAAAAGGAAAGCCAAGGCCTGGAGCGACTGTCCTCAGATTATTAAGTAAAGAGTGACTCTTATCTATTTCTATTGCCAGTTATTGGCTCCTCTCTTGCCCTTTTTATTTATTTATTTTTTATATGAGGTAAAGAAACCAAGCTAGGGAAATGAAGCATGTTTTATAGGCTCTAAAATAATGCTTAAAACTGAACTGGTGGTGTTCCTTGTAAAGAGTGTATTTGCACAACCCTAGGTCCTGGTGCCTTGAGCTCCTCCTAGTTCTAAAGAGAAAATTTCGTTCAAGGGACCACATGAAGCAAAATCTCCAAACTAAGAATTCACAAGAGCCTGCCATGCCCAGTCCACCGCCCTTCTACACATGTACATCCACACACCATTCAGAACATGTACTTTTGCCAATCTCTGTAATGGTTTCTTGATTCTCTACTCCAATTTCTTTTATCCACAACACTTACCCTACCATATGTTTGGGGATTACTACCCTTTTCTACAGTACTGGTGAAAGGATCATATATAGATAGAAACAAGAATGCCCATTCTCCTGAATGCAGTGAGTAACTGTGAATGGTAAGTAACAGTCTGGCTCCCAACTTTGTGCCCATGTCTGGTTTTCATGAATTTTCCCCAACCTGAAACTGTAACACTTCTACCACAGTGTTAGTACACAGGCCTGGTTACACCAGTACTCTCCTTGAGGACATGGTAAATTTGGCCCAGTTAGCTCCTAGAGAACATTTTTATTTAATATGACGAAGAAAGGAAGCTACAAACTCTCTTTCCGTCTCTGAGAATCCCCATCTAGTGCAGTGGTTTTTAAGATGTCCAGGCTCCATCCCAGGCCTACTGAATAAGATCCTGTGAGGGTGGGGCTGAGAATGTATATTCTGGCAAAAACTCTTTAGATGAATTCTGATATATCCCAAAGATTGAGAACCTTGGAATACACTGCCTCTAATGTAATCTAGTTTTTAAAACTCTGAAGGGGAGGCTCATTTCACCCAGAGAAGCAAAAGTGAGACAGGAAAAATAACAAAAGAATCCCCAAACCAGCCATTTATTACAAGATACGAGAGGCTATTGACATTACATGTCTCTGAAAATTCCCTTAGGTCTTTAGGGATAGTTAACAGGAAGCCAAGATTTGGAGCCTTTGTACTAAGAACTTCCTGTGGGATGTTTCTTTACCATAATCAAGTAATTCATATTTAGAGTCAAATGTTCAGTAGCATTTATAATTTAGAGCATTCACCTTGCTAGCTTTCAAAAACATCTCCGAGTTTTAAGTGGCCTTGTTGTTATACACATGAGATACAAAGAAGGGACTTGGCAATTTAAAGCTACATATGTCCACTTTTATTTCCCTAAATTTGCTTTACATGCCAGTAAACCCACACATTGCTGTTACTAACTTTATATTTCAGGTGTTGGCATATATTCTCCTTTTCTTAAATTCTGACTCCAAAATATAAGTAGAAATCCTTTGCCCAGTGCAGGGGGACTTACATCTTTTTTTCCTCTCCTACAAAAACACATTTTATTAGAATTGATCATTTTCCTTTATGCTCACTCAATATGCAATGTGTTGTTATTCTATCACTTACCTTAAAGAAAGGATGACAGCAAAGTTATTTACCATATAGGAGGTGTTTTCTTTCTGGAAATGATGGCTCAGCCTCACAGCAGCAGCTGGTATGTGTGGTCAAGTGGATAGTTGTACTCTTGCAAGTTGTACTTATATATATTACTGGACCTTCAGACTGTTAAGAATCAATGTAACTTTAATTTTTTTTATTGCTATGGGAGGCAATTAATATTCCACTGCACGTTTTCCACACTGATGTTCATTTCTAAATCTAACATGTAGGCATTTGTTAGTTTCAATGATTTCCTCACTAATATAACACTTTTTAATGGGACTATTTCCACCTAGAGCCCTGGAATTATAGTGCTACAGTAATTCTTCTGAATTGACTTTTTCTTTCATCCTCTCAGCTTTGGATAATATCACAGTAATGGCAGAGAACAGGGGAAGAAATCACATTAACAAAGAATGGTAGGTGAGTCAGCTCTACTGACGCACACACCATGGAGCCCATACAAAGTAGGAGAAATACCTCAGTTAAAAAGTTTCCGTCAGTCTTGAAAAGTATACTGAGGAAAAGGACGGTCACAGCACTTACTTCCAACAACTTCTAAAGGATACATGTTTAATATTTCATGTAAAAATTACTCCAAATTTGCACTAAATACCAATGAAGTGTTATTTTGCTTTAGTTGTGTTGCAGTCTTTTCTGATCAACAAACTATGGGGGAAATTCTGTAAAAACAAAAAAATTCAAGACTTTTTTTTTAAATGAATGATTGCTATGTTAAATAAATACACGTTTTTTTTTTTTTTAAACAAATGATAGATGGCAAGATTATAGATGATTAACCTCTGTTCATAGACTTATATATATAAAACTAGAGTTTTTTGTTTACTTTTTTTAATTTTTCAAGTGCAATTGTTTCTTACATGGCATATTATTAATTACAATTAAGTTATCATTTTAGCCAGTTAGTAAATTATAGTATGTATTCATTGTCTCTTCTTGTGACATTTAGTTTAATTGCTTATTTTAAAGCAGAAACATTAGAGTTACAAGGGTCTTGCAATATTTTTACCAACAATAAAATTAAGTAGAGACTTAACAATGAAAATACCTTAATGTGATTTTAATATTATTTTGAGATTTTGGTTGTATAAAGTTTTAATGTAAAATGTCCATTATTGAAGGAAAAAGATCTTTCAATAAAAAATACCCACAAGATCTTTGGCACTGATGGAATTTCCTTTTCAAGTTGAAGTTTTTACTAATTTCAGTGATCCTCTACAAGCAAGCTCGTATTTACATAGCTTTTGTTGAGAAAGAAGAATTTCAAGGCATTTTATATGGTACCGTATTATATTTTTCACAGGTGTTTCTGGAGAAAAATAATGAATTGGGGCAAATAAAATATTTATCTAAATCCTAAGTTGGAATTGAATGGGCTGTGTCTCAGACAAAATGATCCTACAGCCTCCTTACTCAAAGTGTGGGCCATAAAACAGCAGCATGGGCATGAGCTGAGAGCATGTGAGAAACATATAGCTTAAGGCCACAGGCCAGACATACTGACTCACAGGGCTGGACTAGGGCGAATGAGTGATGTGAGTGAGGCACTCGCCTTGGGTGCCAGAAAACTCAATCATCAAACTAAATACTATTTTAATGCAATATTTTAAAAAAATCAAAATTAGTACATATTCCATGATTAACAAGTATCAAAATTTTAAATAAAGATGGTAGATGACAGGGTCAGTATTACTGAGTTTTCCTTTTGCCTCAGGCTACAGTGTGGCTCAGCAGAGCACCCTCCTCCCAACCCTCTAAATTGGAATGTGCCTTTTAGCAAGAGCTCCAGGTGGTTAATATACACATTAAGGTTTAAGAAGCACTGATCTAAAATCATCTGGCAGAAGATATGTTGTTCCTTTTGGCCAGCCAGCACCTCAATCCCCTTTCTATGTTTGAGAAAATCTCCAACTCATAGGTTTTGGTGGGAGGTAGCACTAGCCTCCTACCACAGATGAAATGCTTGATATGTGCTTTCCTATACTCTCTCATGAGCATGGACCCTACTCTGAATTGGAAGGGACTCTGAATTGGGAGCAACTGACCAAAAGATGGGGAAACTGTGAGGAAGTCTGGAAGTGGTGGGAACAGTGTCCAGTATTAGTGGTGTCAGCCATAAGTTGGAACATTTTAGAGCCTCAAGGATAACAGCTATGTCTTCATCAGGCCAAAATCATCATGGCGATTTCAGGCATTTATTGTTCCTGGCTATATAGCTCTAGCCCTCTTTGCAATTCTGCAAGCTACTCAATATTCTTTTTAAAAATTATTTTCTGCTTAAAATAGCCTGAGTTGGCTTCTACTGCTTGCAACCAAGAACTCTGTCATGTTTGATGTCTGAGACTTCACTGACGAATAAATGGACCAAGGAAACGATACCAAAGTTGACTGTAGAGATGGGGAAAAGGTCAGCAACAGAGTACATTTTTGTTACTTTAAGTCCTCAGCACTAGTGTCTGCAATGTAATGTGCCTTAAATAGTAGTTATTATTATTATTGTTACAACCACTACTGGGTAAATTCGTGTCATACAAAAAAAGAACAGTTGTATTACCTGAGCTATTATATCATAAAATTTCAAGGAAAATTAAGACATTTATTTTTCCATCTATTGAGTATTTTAAGTGACATAGAAGAGAATAAGACACAACTTACGTTTCAGTGATCTATTGCTGCATAACATACTACCTTAAAACTTAGTGGTTTAAAACAATTATTGTTTCATTATTTCTCATCTTCTGTGGGTCAGCTATTAAATGTCTGGCAGCACAGTGAGGACGGACTGAACAGCTAGGGGCTGGCTGAAATGCTGGGGGCCATGTGTGTGGGGCCTTAGCTTTTACTGTTAAAGGGCCTCCTCAGTCTCAGAGTGGTCTAGGGCCACTCCCCCACGACATGACCTGTGGCAGCTCAGGGCTCCCACGACTGCCAGACCTTCTTAAAGCTTAGGCTCTGAAGTGGCATACTGTCACCTCTACTGTATTCTATTGATTAAAGCAAAGCACAGGCCAACCCCAGGTGTAAGAGAAGGGGACTCCATAAATGGCATGGCTACCAGGAGGAGTTACAGTTCACTAGAGGCAACTTACTATCAGGTAAATGCAGGTAGGTATCAGCAAAGTGCAATGGGACTGAAGAAGCAGCATTAAACATTAGGAGAAATCATGATACTTAGAAGGATAGAGGGTTTTTTTCTTTCCTAGTTTTTGCTGTGTTCCCTACCTCCAACACACTGAACAACAAAAAAGAGATGTTACAACAGCAAAATCTAATAAACTGAGAAATATAGGTGCAAAAATATTCACCATCAAAGTTGGTATATCAAAAATTGAGAAGAGGGTATATCAACTTGAAACCATATAGTATATATATATATTATTCTATATTGGTACTTTATTCATTTAAAAATACTAAATGAGGAACCTCATTTGATAAATAGATCTTACCTTTGAAAACTTTTTCTTATGAATCTCAGTATAAATGAGTGACTGGTGTATTATATCACAGACTAAGTTTTAACCCACCAAGTATATTCTGATCTTTTTGTCACAGAGGTCTTCTATAAAAGAAAAAAAAAAAGTAGAATATCTGTAGCCTAATTAAAATAAAGTGCTACTAAATATATTGATGTGTTTTGTTCTATAACTCCTTTTAAAAGCATTTGTTGCTCCTACAGGAAGTAAAATATGGTTGTTCTCCAATAAACCATAATAGACAAGTTTCTTAAGCAAAATACAATCTTTAATATAAAATAAGCATATTCATATGCTCTATAATGGTAAAATATATGCAAACATCTCACAGATATATTCTAACAAGGACTGCACTTGATTATTTTTGATTGCCACCCAATAAATCCAAACAATAAACATAATTATTTCTACATCCAATAATAAGCATTGATTCCCATACCACAGGAGAAGAAAAGACTTCTCCAGGAAGTTCATATACACTTTGCAATTGCCCACTCTTAGATTCCAAGATCCACAGTTTCCCATCAGTAGATGCTGCTGCAAGCAACATTTCATCACTATGATTGGGGTTATGGAAAGCAAATGGTGTTGAATACACCCTTGAAGTAGTTTCAAATTTCCATTGTAGGTGACCTTTCAGATTACAACAGTAGATAAAGCAATCATGGGAACCAAAAAATATTTCTTGCTCTGATGCTGAGGTACACGGGGATGAAAAGATTGGTTCACTGGTACAGAAATGCCAAACCTGAAAAGGGTGATAAAGTCAAAAATAATTCATTCATCTCATTTCAACAATTCTCTAGATTAAAGCTTTATGAAATTCTTAATAAAAATGTAAGAGATGTAGGCTACTGAATGGTAACTACACAGAGAAAATAATGGCTTTTCTGAAAAGCAGTACCCTCAGATAAGACCTCTGACCCATGGTAAAATCTAGCACAAAATACCCTGGAGTGTCCTTACTACATGAGTCATTGCTATGCATAATATTATGAAGTAAAATTAATTTTGAACCCCATTCAAGAGTTAATACTAGTATGTCGGAGACACTGAGTTCACAGATAAAAGTACATTGAGTTTTCAATGTATCTGATTAAAAACTGTATCTTATTCTAGTCTCCTAATACAGGGAGAAGGAAGTTAAGTGTCACTGAAAGGAAGAGTTCATGGGCAATAATTTAAAGCTTTAAACAAAAAGCTGTGAGTTGTGTGTGTCTTTCCTCTGGATATGTACCGTTTGCTTATTTCAAAGCTACTACAGACAAATCTGCCATCCAACATTTTGAAGAAAAGGCACATTTGTTTACAAATGCACAGTAGGCATATTCACAAAATATAATTTGTAATTTCAATTCTGTCCCTGATTTGGACAAAATCACTTTAATCTTTCTATGGTTCATCTAAAAAATAGGAGTAATAGCATTTTGCTCTTCTTACTTCTTAGGAATCTAAAGGTGAGAATATATTCAAACCACTTTGTAAATAAAGAGATTAAGTGAACATAATAAAAGATTTCATCATAAAGTAATTGTTACACAGAGCAAAAGAAATGCTAGGCTGTGAGGGGTGAATGTAGAATAAAGAGCACCCAGAATCAAGCCTAGCCATCAATGGGCTAACTGATGTTGGAGCTAGCGCACTCTCAAGTCCACAAAACAATTCCCCAAACCAAAAACACAGCAGAAGTTGTGCCATAAAGGATAGTCACTTGTGGGTACTTAAAGAAGTGGAGATGATGCTCCCAATGAAAGATCTAATATAACCCAGAAGGAGCCTACCCTGCCAGTCTGAAGCTGAAGATGGGGCCACCACCATGAAATGGGTTATGCAACAGATTTTGGTTTTCATAGAAAAAGCAGGGGCTTCTTTAAATTTTCATAACCTCAATAGACGTTTTAATACAAGTCTAACAATGTTTGGGTAGAATCTTGTTAAATCTACTGCAGCATCATTCAAAAATTAAGAAACCCATGGCTTGACAATTAAAATAGAACTTTTTTTTTTTTTTGAGGAAGATTAGCCCTGCGCTAACATCTATTGCCAATCTTCCTCTTTTTCTTTTTTTTCCTCCCCAAAGCCCCAGTACACAGCTGCATATCATAGTTGTAGAGTTGTAGCTCTTCTATATGGGACGCTGCCTCAGCAGGGCTTGATGAGCAGTGAGTAGGTCCGTGCCCGGGATCCGAACCAGCAAACCCCAGGCTGCTGAAGCAGAACATGCGAACTTAACTGCTATGCCACCGGGCTGGCCCCGAAAACAGAACTAATTTTTAACACAATGAGTTGAATAATGATGTTTAAAATTTTACTTCAGTTGTCATCAACTACTATGTCTTTGAGAAAGATATGTAAAACAGAACTAGAAATTTTTACCTGTTCACCAAAGTGAGTAAAGCAGAGTAACTTCCCATCTACACAGCCAATGCAAATATACTGTAGGCAACACCGTGGAGAAGAGAAGAGTGGTTTTCCACAGGAATGTTTCCAGACTCTGTTTCCAGTAGCCTGTCACAGGCAAAAAGCAATTCATAGCATTTAAATCATTCTACTAATCAATTACCCTTTATAAAACAAACCCAAATCTCTCAGAGGCAAAGACATAAACATCAGAAGATGCTACCATGACATGCTGACATTATAAATGAAGCTAGCACACATATACACAGCTATAAAATTAATCTGCTATTTATGAGAGCTAAGATAAAAACTTGCAGTAAAACCAGGAAAGAAATAACTAGCACATAAGATCTATGCTTAGAATGGACACAAAGTTCTTAATATGACTGAGAAAATTGTGCCAACTTAAAAAACTGATAAAAGACGTACACAGAACTTAGATTTTCTCATCTTTCTAGACTTCATGTCAGTCATTTTTAACGAGTTCTGGTTCAGTGATATTTGGACTATAACTGAAAAATACTTCGAATTTTCAGAATTCAAAGCAAAAATAGAAGAATATTAAAGAAAAACAGGTAATAAAATCAATACATATTATTTTATGCCTACAGGATTTACAGCCAGTAAAAGTCCTCCCAGTGTAGCAAAATACAAGTGATGTGGAATCAGGCTCAAACAAGGAGAAGAAAAGACAGTTCCTCCACATTTTAACTTCCAAACACACTTCTTTTCCTGCAAATAAGAAAGCAAATTAATTGGTTTCTGTTGGTGGTTAACAAATCCACATATCCTATCCCTCATGATGTTATGTCTATTTAGTTAATATAAGTTTTTATTTTTAGTATAAAAGTAATACATGCTCACTGTGGAGACTCAAGTTAGTATAAAGAAGACAAAGGCCATACTGGCCCCGTGGCGTAGCAGTTAGGTGCGCACCCTCAGCTGCTGGCGGCCCGGGTTCGGATCCTGGGCACGCACCGACGCACCACTTGTCAGGCCATGCTGTGGCGGCGTCCCATATAAAGTGGAGGAAGATGGGCACAGATGTTAGCCTAGGGCCAGTCTTCCTCAGCAAAAAGAGGAGGATTGGCATGGATGTTAGCTCAGGGCTGATCTTCCTCACACACACAAAAAAAGAAAATGACAAAGGCCACCACCCAGAGATAACCACTGTTAGCATTTTAGCCTTTTTCATTTTGATCTTTTTGGTGTACACACACACTCAGAGTTTAATATAGTTGATATCATTCTGAATATACACTTGGTATCTAATTTAGCTCACTTATTTCGTAAAACTCTTGTTAAATACTACTTTACTGCGTAACATCCCATAAGAACATAAAATAGCTTATCTCTCTACCTTATATTGAAAATTGTTTGCAACTAATTTTCTTCGTATTATAAACAACTTGGAAATAGACATCTTGGTGCATATATTTGTCCATGTTTCTGATTATATTGTCAGGACAGATTCCTAAAAGAATTTTACTGAATCAAAGGCTATGAAATTGTTACCTATGGCCAAACTGTTTTCCTCAGAGGCCTCACTAGTTACCTCCTACCACTCTCATCAGCATTTAATGTTATCATTCTAATCTAATACCATTTATTTCTGTATTTCATTTTTGTGTGTGTGTGTGTGTGTGTGAGGAAGATTAGCCCTGAGCTAACATCTGTTGCCAATCCTACTCTTTTTTGCTGAGGAAGACTGGCCCTGGGCTAACATCTGTGCCCATTTTCTTCTCCTTTATATGTGGGACACCTGCCACAGCATGGCTTAATAAGCAGTGTATAGGTCCGCACCTGGGATCCGAAACCACGAACCCCAGGCTGCTGAAGCGGAGCATGTGAACTCAACCACCATGCCACCGGGCTGGCCTCTGTATCTCATAGTTTTAAATTTTCATTCCTTTGATTATTAAAGGTATGAAACATTTAAATACATTGACAAGCCATTTCTTCTTTGGGGTCCTGTGCATTTATATCCCTTGTTTATTTTTCTATCTGGGTCTTTATTTTTTTTTTTAATTTGTGTTTGCTCTTTATTTTCATTTATACTTATATAAATGAGTTTTAACTCTGTCACATTTGTTTCAAAATTTCTCCCCAACTTTTCTTTTAATTTTGTAATTCTTAAATTTTTTTATTTTATATAATCAGGTCTTATAGATATTTTCTTTTGCAATTCTTCTCTATTGTCAAGATGGTAATTCTAAGTTCTTTACATTTCAAAACTCTGAGGAGCAAATTTACTTGTGAAAATTTGGTAAGGAAGTGAAAAGTGTCTTAAGATATTAAGACTGTTAATTAACCCCTTATTCTTCCCCAACCACAATGCTAAACTTGGGAAATAGTTAACACCTGCTCCCCTGGTCAGTAGCACCCGGCAACTTCACATTCTTCTTCACTTATGATATGAGATTGACGAAGTGAATTCTTACATAAATATCCAAAGCATATGCATGCTGGTCATGAGATCCAATATAAAGGAGTCCTGTGGTCGGATCCATGGTTGCCGAGCTTTTGACAGCATCCTCAGTAGTAAATGTCCAGTATTTTTCTCCACTATTACTTTTTAGAACATAAACTAACCCGTTATAACAGCCTGTTGGGAAACAAAATATAAAAGATGAGATTTAGATATGTCATTGGAAAATAATTTTTTTATTAGGCTAAAAAATTCTTTAGGCTAAATCATGACAATTTATATTCGATGCTCTTCATGTATACTTGGGCTCTATGTTCAGGTCAGATTTAGCTTTCAGCAATGTAATGCACCAACTGAACAGTAATCACTTGTGTAAAATACCTATTTAGTAGGTACACATTATTTTTTAAAAGTAGAATAAAGTGCTTCACTGCCAAGAAAACAATGGACATGAAGCATGCGGCAGTGGAGAGGCTTTGACAGACCTGGATCCAAATCTCACCATGGCCATCCTTGGGCAAATCGCCCAGCATTGCTGAGCCTCAGATTATTTTTCTGCTGAAGGTGGATACATCTACTTCCAGGGTTATTGTGACAATCAAGATAAAATAATGTGGACAAATGCCCAGAGCATAAAAGGTGTTCAAGAAATGCTAACATTAACAACAACCAACATTTACTGAGCTTTTACCTTATAAAGGGTGCTGGTCTCAGAATTTTTTATCTATTAACTCACATATTGCTCACAGTGAAGCACGTGCTATTAGCATTTTATAGATGACAAAATTAAAGCACAGAGAGATTAAGTTCCTAGGGCAAAACTACTCAGCTAATACGTGGCAGAGCCAGGATCTGAATCTAAGTCAAGCTCCAGAGCCTGTGTGCTTAACAACTACACCAGACTGCTCTTCCCAAACTGCTGCTATGGATGAGAAGATAGAGTGGGAGTCCCTAACTTGGTGCAGCCAAAATAACTCAGGTGGAAGTAGGGGTGGTCAAAATCTACAAGGTGAAGATCACTCGAGTTCCCTGGAGTGCATGTAAACCAGGGGAAGTGGAATTTGGGCACTGGCCCACCACTGTCTAGGTGGCTCTGCTTTTGGTTATAACCACTTGCTGCTCACTTGACGCCCTTCCTCCTTACCTACTCTCTTGAACCACTCACTCTGAGGGAAGTTAGCTGCTATGTTGTTGAGGGCATTCAAGTGCCCTATGGAGAGGCCCATGTGGCAAGAAACTGAAGCTTCCTGCCAAGAACCACAAAGAACTGGAGTCTTCTGCTGGCAGCGATGTGAGTGAGCCATCTGGGAAGCAGATTTTCCAGCCCAAGTCAACCCTTCAGATGGCTGCAGCCACATGAGAGACCCTGAGCCAGAACTTCCAGCTAAGCTGCTCCTAAATTCCTGATCCACAGAAACTGTGAGATAATAAATGTTTGTTACTCTAAACCATTAAGTTTTGGGATAATGTGTGATGCAGCAACATGTTTTATTTATTATGCCCATATACTTATGAGAAAACTGAGGTTCTAAGAGGTTCAGCAACTTGTCAAAGGTCACAGAGCTGGTAACAGCTTTAGAGCTAGGTTCAAATCCAGGGACTCTGACCCAAGGCCCACACTGTGAATCAGTACACGGTTAACTATTATTATTTGACAGCAACCAAACCCACCACACATAGGTGTTTTTTTTAATTTAACTTGGTCCTACTAGCATTATCATATGGTAATTAAATTTAACTTTATATATGGGCCGGCCCCGTGGCTTAGCGGTTAAGTACGCGCGCTCTGCTGCTGGCGGCCCGGGTTCGGATCCTGGGCGTGCACCGACGCACCACTTCTCCGGCCATGCTGAGGCCGCGTCCCACATACAGCAACTAGAAGGATGTGCAGCTATGACATACAACTATCTACTGGGGCTTTGTGGGGGAAAAATAAAATAAATAAATAAATAAAAATAAATTTAACTCTATAAACCTCAAATTCAGAAACTTACCCACTACAATAAAGTTTCCACACTTAGATACACATGCTGAGGATTCAATTCGATCTCCCAAAATCTGCTCCCATTTCACCTTCCCAGAGTAAAGGTCAACTGCCATCATTCTACAAGAATGGGAGCCAACGTACACAGTTGCAGATGACTTATCAACAGCTGGTATTAGAACCAGAGGTGAAGCATCTACACATTTGCCTGTATCTGACATCCACCTCACACGTAACTCCATTTTCTCATCCTCTATCACAGGTGTTCCCTCTTCAGAAACTTCTGCAACACAGGATGGATCTTTTGACTTCACAATAAAAGCTGGAGGATTTAAGCTTTCCATGTTTTGAATGTTAGTCTGTGAAATTAAATCAGAAGAACAGGCTGAAGGGCAATGTCCTAATTTGGTTAAAAGCCTAGTAGTATTCAGAGACAAAATCTGACTCCCTCTGCTCAGTGCAATAAAAGCATTTATCTTGTTGTCACAATTTAAAGGCATGACAGAGTTCTGATGTAAAGATTTTCCACTGGTCTCCTCTTGACTAACATCGTTAAATTTTCTTTTTGTGGCATAATTCTTGCTAAATGTCAGATCTTCATCTGGAAACACTGCTTGAAGGATGTGATTATAAATCTCTAAAATGGAACTGTTAAGAATAATTTCCAAAAGCCCCGGTACTGATGTGCCAACAAGTTTTTCAATCTCATCGAGGAGTCGTATGGACTTTAAGGAATCTCCACCACTATTTAAGAAGAGCGAATCACCAGGAATCTTCAAAGGATCTTCTGAGAGACTCAGAATAGACTACAGATGAGAGAAGGGAGAAATATGATGAAGTAAAGGCCTAAAACCAAAAGAATTCAACATTTATAGGTAATATATAGATGACAGTACCTACATTAATAATATGAACACAAGACAAAATATTTTTAATAATTAAAATAAATATTAAAATTATTTTCTTTACAGTAAAGGAGACCATCACTATGCTACCAATTTTGTCACAAACTCACTTTAAAACTACAAATTGTATTTCTCTTTAGAATAGTTTCCCTACCCATATAATAGGGAATGGAATTACAAAAACATCTGGTTTACTATATTAAAGCCCATAACATACTAATATCTGATATTTCTATAATATGGGAATAATATTTATCTTCATTTGCTTCACATGAATCAAAATTCTTTTCCAAGACTCAAAAAATGAAATGGAAAAGACTTTTATCTAGATATCCTCTATTTTCAGATAAGACTATACAATTGCATCCTCTCTTCAGAACCTTTAGAAAACTCCACATTTCATCTAAGAAAAATTGTACTGACCTATGGTTTTAATAAAAAATGTACATATGTCAAAATAAATTTTAAAAATTATTTGCTATGCATATTTTTATATATATATATAAATTCCCTTAAGCAGAAACACACAATATGTCAAGATAGGTTTTGTCTACTGTGCCTTTTATGACTACCTCACTTCCAATAAATTTCTTTATGGGGAGCATAATCTAATCTTACAGTAGAGAACCTAAATCTTATTTTAATACAAATTGAATAAACAAAGCTAAAGGAGTGAGGAGAGGGGTGGGAGAAAAAACAAAACAAAACAAAAGCTATACTAAACATCTGGGCAGCAATAACATCCTTAGAAAATTTTATTAGACTTATTAGGATGCTATTGTTCCCTAAAAATATAAAATGAGGGGCCGGTCTGGTGATGTAGCGGTTAAGATTGTGCTCTCTGCTGCGGCAGCCCGGAGTTCACAGGTTTGGATCCTGGGCATGGACCTACACCACTCATTAAGCCATGCTGTGGCAGTGACCCACATACAAACTAGGGGAAGATGGCACAGATGTTAGCTCAGGGCCAATCTTCCTCAAGCAAAAAGGGGAGGACTGGAAGCAGATGTTAGCTCAGGGCCAATTTCCTCACCAAAAAAAAAAAAAAAAAAAAAGATATAAAATGACCTCTTTATAAAAACAAATTTGTATCTTAAAAGTTTACCTTTCAGGGCCGGCCCCGTGGCTTAGCGGTTAAGTGTGCGCGCTCCGCTGCTGGCGGCCCGGGTTCGGATCCCGGGCGCGCACCGACGCACCGCTTGTCCGGCCATGCTGAGGCCGCGTCCCACATACAGCAACTAGAAGGATGTGCAACTATGACATACAACTATCAACTGGGGCTTTGGGGGGGAAAAATAAAATAAATAAAATCTTTAAAAAAAAAAAAAAAGTTTACCTTCCAGAAATGCTGTAATTTTTCCCAAAGTTCCTCTTTTCCATTGAGCTTACACTCAGACTTCAAGTTTATGTAGTTTAAATAAATCTTGTTTAACTCAGAAACATCAATTTTGCCTTAATAAAAAGAGAAATAATTTTTAAATTTCAGCTCAAACCCTTTACATCTTTATTAGTCATAAGAATACACACATTTTTCATTGTAAAGGTTAGAAATCCTATAGAATAGTTTGTCCTAGATAATTAATTCTAGATAATTAATTCTAAAGGAAGCAGTCCCATGCTACCAAGAATGTAGTGAGTAATAGATAAAAAAAGAAGAAAGGAGGAGCTAATGTTTATCTCATTTAAAGAGTTAAAGAAATGGTACTATTAACTGAGCAATTACTGCATTTTGAAGTAAATATTAAATAAAGATTATTGAGATGGTAATATAACATGGTGATTAAGAGCTTATGTTTTGAAGTGAAACAGTCCTAGACAGAATTTCAACTCTACCACTAACCAGCAATGTAATTTTGGGAAAATTACTTAACCTCTTTAAGCCTTATTTTCCACATCTGTAAATGGAAATAATACCACCTACAGCATTTTCTGGAGATAAAATGAGGTAATTATACAAAGCATTTAACAGAGGGTCTACCACAATATATGCTAGCACTACTTATAATGATAATGATAAGGATTTAAGTGGCCTTTAAATTAGTTATGAATACAATTAGTATCATCTGGCACTGAAACATATCTGCTTCAAATTATTTTACCGTGAGATGTAAATGGTAGAGAATCAATCAACACAAGCTCATCCGGGATTGCATGACTTGGAAGATATTTCTGCAGTTCTTTAAAGATGTAATCCTTTATTAAATCATTTTTGGACACCATGAACAGAATTAATTTTTCCTGATTATACCATGTAACTGCACAAGACTCCACTTGCTGAAGACCTTCAGCAACCTATAAGAGAGATTATCCCAATTTGCTAATGAGAAGATTTAAAAACAAACTTCCTAAATGCTCAAACTTATCATGTCTGAAATCAACCCAGTCAAATTAAATTTTGGAATACACTAGAGATTTTTAAAAAATTGTTTGCTACTATTACCATTATCAGCACACAGGGTTCTTAATGATTTTAAAAAATAGTAACTCCTAGGGGAAGGGGGGAGGGAGGAGGGTGAAAGGGATAATTCGGTACATGTGTGTAGTGATGGGTTGTAATTAGTATTTTGGTGGTGAACATGATGTAGTCCATGCAGAAATAGAAGTACAATGATGTACACCTGAAATTTTTACAATGTTATAAACCAATGTTACTGCAAAAAAAAAAAAAAAAAAAAAAAAAAAAAAAAAAAAATAGTAACTCCTAAAGCAAAATACACCAATTTATTTTAACAGTTATTAAAATCCATTTTGTCACTTATTTAAAAACAACTATTTCTTCATGCTGAGAATAAGGGGCACAATAAATTATCCATATCTTTTATTGTAATTTATCACTAATACAAAAATCTAAGGTTTAAATAATATTTATAGAGAACCCCGGCATGGAAAACTGGTAGTGGCTGCCTCTAACACCTACATATATTAACAGATATTTAATATTTCAATGGTTCTACCTGTTGCACAAGTTCAATGTTAAGACGTTTGCCATGACGTTTAATCTGACTGTCCTTTCGTCCCAAGAAAAACATCTCTCCATTTTTCATAGTCACAAAGTCTCCTGTGGCTCGCATTGTGCCAAGAGGTACAGTCATTTCATCATCAAGAAAACATACTCTGTTTCTGCCACCTTCACAAGATATAAATACCAATGTAAGAAAAAATCCATGGAAAACATACTAAAAACCATCAAATCAAGAACATCTCCAAAAATTACTAAGTTTCAAATTTTGAATATTTATAATAAAGGTGGGCTCACTTTTAAACGTTGTCTCATAAAATTAGATACAATAACCTCAGTGAAATAAGCAAAGGAATAAAACAAAATTTATCTCTAAAAATATATACATGATTAAAAAAAGTCTTAGAATACTGATTAAATAGGATTTTGGTTATATATATACATACATAAAGGTCCAAGTTACAGTTTCTAAATTAGTTTTATATATTCCCTTAACATATTAGACATTGTTATCTGAAATAATTATGGTAACTTATTAAATGTTTCATGACCATGAGGATGAGATTAAAAATTATCATCACTGGAAAGAATACTGGAGTTAAGAAGAATTGGAGAAGAATAAAATTAACATATCATACTCTTTTTCTTGAAAAAAAAAATTATTCCCAATCAACCAATATAAAACAACCTAAAAATACTTGGCCATCGCCTTCCTGAATGATGAAACCATTAGTATCTCTGACTTCAACTACCGTTCCAAGCAGTGGAAATCCCAGTTGTACAGGCAATTCACATCTATGAAAACACAACAACCCAAACCAGATTTAAAATCTTTCATTTGAATAGAATATTTTCCAACGTATTTATATCACACTGTACCAAATAAAGAAAAAAAAACTTTTTGTGATGCTATAATTCAAAGACTGCCAAGAGGAAAAGGTTAGGTGGAAAGGGTATCACATGTTACTCATTGCTGTTTAGTCACAAAAAGTTCTACCAGGATCTGGAAGCGCCAGTTGCAGTAAGAAAGGTTCTGGATTACTAGTGTAAAATTCTAGATAAAACATTGTTTCTAAAATTACCCCTGTGCCTATCAAAAACACTATTAGTGTTGAAATACTGAAAAAATACAGTTTCTCTCTACCCTATTTAGTAATTGAAACTCTTACTTCAAAGTAGAGTTAAGAATCTTCTCTGGAATCCTGTAAAAAGTCGCCCAACTTGATACCTCTGTGATACCATAAATATTAAATATTTGTGTTTTATTGCCTACTCCTCTCCAGCTTTTGAGAACAGTCAATGATGGACACGCTTCACCACCAAGGGCTAATACTCGAAGAGAAGTATTGGCTGATAGAACAGTTGACTTGATAAGCTGAGATCCAAATCTTCTAAGCAATGTTGGCGTTGCCTGTAGATACATTTAAAATAAATTATTTCTTTTCCTTTACTTCTTAAAAAGGTAAAAACTGTAATGATTAGTTCAAAGCTTACATTGGGAGCCCACATGGAAATTAAAGCCGTGTTCACTAAATAGTAAATCATATTTGGAAAACTAATAAGGTAGCATTATTTTCTTAATGAGGATATCAATTTTGCTTTATCAAAAAACTTAAGAAAAATGTTAGTTATGTTTCATTATACAGTTTAGACAAAAAAGTTTAAAGATAAAAAAGATAAAATATATAAAATCAATTCACATTTCCTTGCCCATTATCTCTATGTAGAAAAAGTATGTAAAAGGGTTAAAAAATCTGCCTAACCAAAATAATATGAATAAAGATTTTTCTTTATTGAGATAGTATAACTGACATACAATAAACTGTACATATTTAAAGTGCACAATATCAATTTTGATAAACTATCAGTGAACCCATCACCACAATCCAAATAATGAACACATCCTTCAACCCTCTTCCAAGTTACAGACTGCCAACTTCTTGCTGTGTCCTCATCACCTGGTGGAAGGGACTAAGGAGCTCTGTTGGAGTCTCTTTTAGAAGGGCACGAACCCCATTCATGAGGGCTCCACCCTCATGACCTAAGCACTCCCAAATGCCTCACCTCATAATACCACCACACTAGGCATTAGGATTTTAACGTATGAATTTTAGGGGAAACAAACGCTCAGACTATAGGACTTTTTATTGCTGAGTGGTATTGCACTGTATGGATCAGGACTGGCTTCTGCATTTCCATATAAAATTTAGGATCAGCTTGTCAATTTCTACCAAAAAAAAGTGTACTAGGATTTTGGGAGGGATTTTTTTTTTGGGGGGAGGAAAATCAGCCCTGGGCTAACATCTGTGCCCATGTTCCTCCACTTTATATGGGACGCCGCCACAGCATGGCCCCAACAAGTGGTGCATTGGTGCACACCCGGGATCCAAACCCGTGCCCCCAGCAGCAGAGCTCGTGCACTTAACTGCTACGCCATGGGGCCAGCCCCTTGACAGAGACTGTTTAATTTATAGATCAATTCGGGGAAAACTGCAATCTTGACAATACTGAGATTTCTAATTCATAAACATGAATGTTTCTTCATCTATTTAGCTCTTTAATTTCTATCAACAATGTTTTATAGTTTTCAGTGTTAAGTCTTGCTCTTCTTTAAATTTATTCCTATTTTATTATTTTTGATGCTATTGTGAATATAATTATTTTCTTAATTTTATTTTTGGATTTTACTTTCTATTATATAGAAATATAGTTGATTTTATATATTGATCTTGTATCCTGCAACCTTGCTAAACTTGTTTATTAGTTCTAGTAGTTCTCCCTCCCCATCTCCTTGGGATTTTCTATATATAGGATCATGTCATCTGCAAATAAAGAGAGTTTTACTTGTTCCTGTCCAATTTTTTTTTTCTTTTTGTCTATTGCACTTGCTAGAATAACCAGAATAATGTTGAAGAGAAGTGACAAAAGCAAACATCCTTGCCCTGTTCTCAATCTTAGGGTGAAAGCATTCAGTCTTTCATCAGGTATGACGTTAGCTGTAATCTTTTTGTAGATGTCCTTCATCATGTTGGGGAAGTTCCCTTTTATTCCTAGTTTGTTGAGAGTTTTTGTTTTTGTTTTTTGGTGAGGAAGATTGGCCCTGAGCTAACAGCTGTGCCAATCTTCCTCTATTTTGTAGGTGGGACGCCGCCACAGCATGGCTTGATGAGCAGTGTGTAGGTCCATGCCCAGGATCCGAACTGGTGAACCCGGGCCGCCGAAGTGGAAGGCACCAAACTTAACCACTACGCCACGGGGCCGGCCCTAATATTATTTTTCAAGTGTGGAATTCTTCCTAAACCATAGAAGTAGAGTTTATATCAGTTTGTATTCATCATTCACAATTTTAAAAAAGTTCTGTGTGAATAAAGATATTTAAGTGGTTTCTTTCAATAAAAGCTAGAAGAAGCCCTAATGGACAATTTGAAATTTTTTTTTTTTTTTAATTCTTCCATCTCTTTTTTTTTTTTT